TCACCAAAAAAAGTTCTAGATTTAACCAGTGCAGTGGCAAATATTATTTACTCACGCACGCCACTGATTTCCTTAAAAAAATAACTTTTACATTCGTTTATGATTTTTGATCTCTTATTTTTTTTTAGTCCGTCGCGCGGATTTCACTTAAAAATGAAAGCTAGTTTCTCTGCATCCTGTCATATTAACGATATTGTCATGAGCAAGCAGGGAAGAGGTTTTTATTTTTTAAGCGAAAACCGTACCTCTTGTCAAATGCCACTAAAATATCTAAAGTGCTATTACAGTTATTAAAAAAATGTTTTTTATATTTAAAAACTCTACCACCAAAGTTAACAACAATTAGGTCATATGAAGTTTTCTTTTTATAATGGACCCCAAAATCACCCCCTTAATTATCGACATTCAATTAGAAAACACCCTGTATACTGCAGAAGCTCTGTTAAAGGGAAATTAAGAACTACGCTCGCGACACCTATAGCGTACCATTGTCCCACCGCTTACGTACCTGGTCGGGTACCTGCAAGTGGTACCACCTAGTCGGTACCACTCTAGAAAGTGGGTATTCCGGTACCGTTTCATCGGGAGAACAGAAACGAACAACAGGTATTTGCGCACCGGTAGACAAGGTAACAACAATAGGTGGTTGCCGGTCACGCATATACAGTTTCACTTTGCTACTCGACTGTCGCACGCCGATAGACCGGACGACGACATGCGGAAAACCAATCGAAACACTTTTAGTCCTACCGCACAACTTAAAAAATTAGTACGCGGAGCGATAATGTTAATACTGGCCGAATTTTTTGAGGAATTTGTCCAGTACAAGTACAACATTTTTTTACTATACTATTTTACATAGATGTTATTCGGTCTATGCTTTCCAAAATTCTTAGTTGGAGAGGCAGTTGATTGTAGTTTTAGAAGGCATTATATTTAAACCAGCTTTCAAATTGTGTTGAATTATATATGAATTAAAATTATACTAACCATACATTCAATAAAAAATTGTTTTAAGCTCATAAACGAATTAAATTTAGGTTAATGTAAGTTCCGGAAAAAGAGAATGAAAAAAGGGAATTCGCGCCAAATTCAAATAATATTTACAGTCAAAACCGATCTTATCGTGCTTGATTTTCTTTCATCTTGTTAAATTGTAAAAAAAAGATAAGCGATGTAATTTTATAGGTTTGATTTACAGCTCACAGTGATGATTTTAAGTGACAATACGCATAATAAAAACAATTTTCTGTTTTCTTTGCATCTTCTAACAAAAACAATGTTTTCAAATTGGATTAATTATTTTGAAAATGAAAGGAAAGTGAAAAATTGCCTACGAATATCCAGGAAATGGTTTAAGCAGTTTAACAAAGAACACAAGCAAAAAAATTCTGAATGTGATTTATGATTTATATAGATCTAAAACAAATTTTACCCTTTCAGTTCGGAAAGAAACTCTAAAGAAACAAAGTGTTGTGGATATTGGACTAGAACCATTATCAAAATTAATAAGAATATTAGATTCTCGCTTTAAAAGGAACTGTAACCTCGTCAGCGTGTTCAGTTTTTAGAGAAAAATAAGAAAATCATATAATTAAGTTAGCTATGGTAAAAATATCTGAAATATTTGCTGCAACCTGTGGTAAACTCGGTTCCTTTGAAAAACTCTTTTTTGCTGTTTTATGGCACATCTAAATAAATTTCATATCCCAATTATCGTGATCATTAAAAACTAGTGCGTTAGTGGAAGTGTAGTAGGTATTAACCCAATGGCAAGTTGGAAACAAATGTGTAGCGAAATTTAATTAGGTAATTAACTGGATATCCGCTACAGGTAACTAAACAAATGGTCAGGTAACCATTCGACTAGGGGAGCAGAAACTTGAAGGCAAAATAAATTAATATCCGATGGGTTTTGTGGGTTGCCTTGTTTCAAGGGCGTTTGTAAACATTTACTGCAATACAAATGATTAAAGAATAAAATATCCACCTGTGTTCCGTTTATTTAAATAAATAAGGAATCCAAAAATACGTACTCTAAACTTTAGTAACTACTGCTTTACGTTGCATAAGGGGAGCCCTAGGGTGAACCTACCACCGCGATGTCGAAGTAAGCCGGTTGAACGCACGTAAATATTACCATTGACATTATGCGGTACAATAATCAGGGAAATATAAGAAGCATGGGATGTATTGTGTGTTAATTCAATACCATTCACATTCATAAGAAGTACCCCGACTATCGCACCTTAATTGATGTTAAACGTTAGAAGCAACGTTTTAGTAAAACGCGAAACAATGAAATGTGACATTAACACGATAGCACAGTACTATGCTTCTCACGTGAATAGTACTTAAATAGTAATAGTACTTAAAACTGCGTAGAAAAAATTACGTGAAATAATTATTTCAATACTGGTACTGGCCAAGAGAGAGCCGGTATGATTTTGGTACCACCTATATCCGGAAAACATAAAACGCGGTGGTTAGGGCAGTACTACATTTACTTGAATAAAAGTTGCCACTAAGTCTTCGGTACGGGATAGTATTTTAGTAGAATGTTTTGTAAATTTAAATAAAATATACTTGAACTTTAATTTTTTTTGAAAATTTTTAAAAATATACCGCAATGTGCTCTTATTTTAGCATTATGTTTAATTATTATTAATTATTTTAATACTATCTTGATGGTAATGAAATAAACTTTCTTATTAGGTAAAAATGCGGCAAATGCAAGATTTATCAATAAATTATCCCTATACATTTACTACACACATGTAATTCTTATAAATAATTAACACAATTTTGAAAAGAAATTTTCTACTCATAAATTGTGTCCAATTAAATGCCCATAAAATTTTATAATTATTTGCCTACTGCATCGATAGAATTCTACTGAGCAAATAAATTTAAATATCTGGTAAAAAATGAATTCTTTAAGTGTGATAATAGTTTATTGTAATAGTTTCTGTATATGTTATTAATTTTCTTTTTAATTTTGACAATATCGGACATATAAAGGAAATAAATTGTTTTAGAATTTAATTAAATTAATATGGGATATTTTAAATGGTAATTAATGCACTTTAGTCGCTTACGATCGAGAATTAAGTTACTCATATTAACAAATTTCATTTTATTTGCTTTTATTCCGTGGAAATGTAAAGCGAATCGGTACCAGTTCGATTTGCTGGTACATAGTCGTTACCATTCCCATCAGGAGAACATAACTGAAGTCGATACCGCCCATACTTTGGTACCACGACATCGCCAGTGACTTGATTTAACACAATTTAGGAAATTTTTGTGGAAAAGTATTATCAGACACATGGGCATAATTTTTTTTATCTTTTTTATTCGCGGGGATGATTCACGAAATTTTCAATAAATCCTGCTGGTTAACTAAGCCGGGTCCACGCAAAATCAAGTTACGCAGTCAAAAAGCGTTAAGAGTACCTCGTAGCCGGTGCCAGTGGTTCTTCGTGGTACCTCGGTGGTACCTTGATGGTATCTTATGGTGAAGAATTTATTAGGAGACTATAAATGTCGGTGGATCGTTGGCGGAAGGGGTACCTACTCAGGTAAGAGGTCACTCACCGTTCTAAATCCATATTACGGTAAACCCGATTCCGTGGGCTACCTTTAGTTACATTTTATCGCAATTAGCATGGTGTATTGTGTACCAAACCTTATCTTACGGTATTGTTTCGGGAAAAAAAATCGATTTGTTTACCAATAAATCTCTTGTACCACTTTTGGCATTTAATTTCTCATTAAACGAGAAATTCATCGTGAATTTAATAATTCGCGGTCCAAATCGCATTTTTCTTCAACGACAGCGTTTAAAATATTGAATCGTTTTCACTTTCCAAATATAATTATAACGAAGGAGTAAAATATTGATTGCCGCACTGAAAATGGTGATATACAGGGTGATCAATTAATACTGAAAATTTCCTCATTTTCCAATCGCCTATCCGATGACTCGACTATTTTTCAAAAATTTAGCATCGTCTTTTACATTTTTAGTCATATCCATCGACTTTTGTGATTCTATGTTTAACCGTTTTTGACAAATTCGAGAAAATGTCACAATTTTTTTAATACTTTATTTGGGACGTCAGTGCTCATATTAACTGCTTATAAACATCACGTCGAGCATTTGTCAAATAAAATTTCGTCTAAAACTGAGTTCAAAGGAGTTCCTTTTGTCTCCGGTTTTGCAAATCCTTCGAACGAGGAATAATAATAACATAATTTTGAAATAATCACTGAAAGTGAAAAGTACGGATGAACGCGGAAAGGAAACAATATGTGTTATGTTTGATATGGAAATAGGACAACTTCCACAATATTAGAATTCCCTACACATATAGATAGAGATGAAAAAAATGATGTAACGTGTAAAATAAACTACCCGAAAGAAGAAAATCTTGGTCTATTTTCTTCTACTATTGAGAAAATGTAACTTGAATATTTTATTTATATTTATATTATATTAATATAATTAATAAAATTAATAGGATGTAAGCTTTTGAAAAGTGACTGACTTACAGGACAGACATATATAATAAAAGTTTTCAAAAAAAGTGCTCGAATTCTATTGCAGTTACTTACAACAGGAAAAATATGTGCTAACTAAAGTTTTGCCGCAATTGCCAACCCTGATATGACCAATGAGAGCGCGTTTATCGAATTAAATTTGTATTATTATTAAGTTATTATTAGTATTATTTTTAGACACTTTTGATACTTTATTTTCTAAAGCTCTTTATGTCTGATACCAAAGCAAAGCTCTAAAAATTAAGTTCATTTACGCCGAGACACCGACAATTATAGTCGAGAATAGCCTTCTTTCATGTCCCGCTTCTTGAGTCGCATGGTGCAGCGACTGCCCAAAGCACGGGAACTTTCGCCGGCGAGTCCTTGGTGGTACCCTAGCGGTACTATTGCTGAAGAAATAAGCAGGAGAACATAAAATGGTTGCGTGTATTTTTCAGAGCGGGTACCTGGGAGGCCTACGGTCAAGCTTGGGCGGGTTGACACAGAAAGTGAAGTCTTGGTACTGGGGCAGACCTTTAGTAAGTCTTTTATAGGCCTTCTCCATTTTCAGTAACCATATTCCGAAGTGCACCGACGGTACTGTTTGTTCCACTGTAGTTGCAATTCGTCAGTGGACACCGAAATTTGTTACGCTAAACTAGATGACGACAATTTATTACTATGGCGAATAAGCATCGGCAGTACCGTCGGTTTTCCAATCCAATTCGGAATATGGGTCATATACAGCACTACAAACCAGCATGGCCTCGATTTTTTAGACTTGTTTTATCTATCGGCACATTATTCAAGCACGGATATTATTGTAATTGTGAAATTTTGTTCTACCGAATCGAGTAAATGTTTTAATTTTCATTCTAGCTAGCGGTAAATCGTAACAAAATTGGTTTTCGTGCGGAGACATTGATAGGCAGGCAGGCGAGTAACCTCGATTTTATTATCGGAACTCGCGTTTCCGCAGGCCAATAAATGAACTTATTTTTGAATATTTTGTCGATTTAACGCCAATTTTTAATAGCGGTTGCGATAAAGTTAAAACATTTACTTTTGTCTGTCAAATTTGCAACACATGCAAATCATACCTACACAAAAACACGAACCCCAATGTATCCAACTTTTCTAATATTAAGTAATAAACCCCTAACCATATTTCAACTCTACACTTTTAAGTTTTGAAACTATGCTTTAAGCGGTCATAGTTCGCGAATCAATTAAAATACACCTGCTATGTTAGTAGTGTTGTATATTTTAATCATATAAATTTTATTTACAGAATTACACAGTAGTTTTCCGATTATCCTACTAAAGGTTGTTTCAGTATCGAGATAACTTTCTCGATCACTTACACGGCATGCATAGGGCATGTTGTTTCATACATTTTGTGACTAGTGCACAGTTAGATAAAATCTACACCAACGGGTAAAATTTCGCTAAAATTACTAGATATAGTTTCCAAACAAATAACCACGTAAACCATCGTCTAGTTCATGTAGTTGTTGGTTAGTTTACATACACTGTAGCTTACCGCTGATAGATTTATAAGGTTAGGCTTGCGTGGTTCTGGTTTTACATAACAAAAATATATTTTAGTTTAACAAAGAGAGCTTTTATAGTTACCATCTTGCGTTACCCCTTGCTGTAGGTTTGTAAATGCTCATTTCTTAGACCACTTCCCGTTTTAGCAAGTTGTAGTGGTAACTAGTGACCGTTTCCCTTATTTTAATGTTCCAAACGTATGTCAGTTGACAATAATACTTTATTTAGAAATTTAGATTTTATTATATAATTTTGGCTTAATTTAGAAGCAGCAACATTTGATTAATGTTCTACCACGGGTTTGGTTGTATGTTTCGCTTTTTTACTTTTAAAACGCTCTTATTGTTTTTTTTTATAAAATTGACCTTCATTGGTTGAAGGAAGTCGATAACTCATATAGCAGAAAAGAAAATAGTAGTTTTTAATCAATATTTTCGTTTACTTATAATGGTTATCTAGATAAATATAGATGCTAGTGAACCAAATAACATAGTTTATCATGCGTAATATTCCAGGACTTCTAAGGATAGAATTAGTTAAGTAGCTTTCGTAAATTTTCTAAATTCAGGTGGTTCATTTCATACAAGCAAGCCAGAAGAACAAAAGAAACTTAAAACTAGGAATGTGGGTCGCGGTTTTATTAAGATACGGTGGTAGTTGCGGTTATCGTTATGCGAATCGACCAGGAGATCTGAGACGGGGACGATAACGCATAGGAAGCGATGATCTGAACACAAAAAAAATCGTGGTTCGTGAGTACAACGTAAGCAAAACGACTAATAGGTTTTGCGGCAAATCAAAAGCCGTAACTTCGAAAATACGAAAAGGAATCGTGAGTGGAGACTTAGATTATCTTGATTGCACAATAAGGAATAAATTCATCTTGCGGATGAAAAAAATTCGAAACTTCGGGTCACGTAGGTGGAAGATTGTCTTTTTCTTTCCTGTCAATGCGTAGGAAATTTACAATAGGGCTTTGTGTTATAATTGCTATTTACAACGACTTTGCAGACAATATAGACATTATTTGAACATCTGCGGTCTGACTCTGATAAAATATGTATGGGAACCGAAACCCTTTTGTCGATATCTTTATAGATATCGATATTTGACTTTTACTGGTACGTACACATGACGCGATAATTGTGATAATTGGATCGTAGCTGGTTGTTAAAATATAACTTTGTAAATAGAAGCGGCTTATTTGACAACTAAAAGAACAAAAACCGACCGGAAATCGTTTAAAGATCTTTCAATTCGTTATTTCTACGTCGAATAATAGGCTAATAATTTTGTACGATTTTTGATATCGCAAAGAAAGTAAGTAAAGTAACATTGCTTTCAGTGAAAGTTCGCTCCGCCGTGTTATTCAAATAAGAGTTTTGATCTGTTCGATCTTGATATTTAATACCATTAGAAAGCTTTCCTTTGTTTTTATTTAAGGCGGTAGGTGTAAAGATACCAATATTAAATTACGACGTAATATTATCCAGTCAATTACAAAACAACCCAAAAACCAATGATGGTCATATAGTTTTATGGTTCTGTGTGAAAGCTGGCTATTATGTCAATTTACAGTATGTTAGTCCAGTCTGTGACAAAAAATAAAAGATATATGAAAATCGAAACTAAGTACCTACTAGTCTAAAAAGTGTTTCGTCAGGTCCGATTAGTATTGGATAGTCCCAAAAACGAATTACACGAATTAGGTGAAATGATGCTTTTACACAAGCTGGGAAACTCGGTTGAACACTTTCAATTATGTTTGTGTGAGTGTTTAAACAATTTTACATTATTTGGTCCAATCCTTGAAAAAGATTATTCTTGATTTTTGATATTTGATCTTGTCTCTTAGTCTGTTGTCGCCTACAGTCCCCTGTATCATTGTTCTTCTATATTCAATATTGAGCTTCAAACTTTCATATTTGTTGCAATGGTAGGGGATTCTTTTCTGTGCGGTTTAGTCAAGGTCGGATTCATCGTTTACTCTCGGATAGGTACAGTTTTTTTTCTATTTGTTTTATATTTCACCATATAGAAAATCTTACTTCTATTAGACTATAAGCCGTCGTGTCTTGTACTGTAGTCTAAGGAACATTACATAACAAAACTTTTTGCAGCCTAAAAGTTTTATTTGAAGGTTATAAGTTATACTTCTATTAAGGTATGAGCCGTCGTGTATTGTTTCATTTCAAAAAATAATGGAAAACTAAGAAATTGAATTTTTCGTATTTTCAGTTCATTTCAGATTTTGACCCTACATAAAATTGTAAGTGACTGTTGATATCATCTACTATGCTCATTCTATCCACATTCCTAAACTGTTTCATAACCTTTGAAGCTTAAAAATTTTATTTGAAGGTTATAAAGTTATACTTCTATTAGACTATAAGCCATTGTGTCTTGTTTCATTTCAAAAAATAATGGATAACTAAGAAATTTAAATTTTCGTCTTTTCAGTTCATTACAGATTTTGATTATACATAAAATTCTAAGTAACTGTTGATATCATGCTCATTCTATAAGCTTTTTGAATGAAATAATATATGCTTAGATTGAAATATATAATCTTGAACTTTGTTATATATTCAAATAAACGCCTAGCTAACCTACGATATTTCTATGCACATTCCTAAACTATTGCATCGTCTCATTACAATTGATCTATTAATATTGTTCGTATTACTAACACAAGGAAACCTTTTTAATGCTCTTACAAAAAGTTGTTACAAATTATGCAAAATTTCGCTAGACGTCTACTAAGAGAATTGTGTACCATCAAATGTAGCAACTAAAGCTTTGTCTTATGAACAGTTTTGTATGGTCAACTAATCGTTGGTAATGGTTTTGGTTAGATGTCGTCGACAGTTCTAAAGTTGCGTAGCTTTCATTTGAAATTTACGTTTAGGAACTCGCCAATAAGCTGTCCCGCAGCTTCGATATGAAAGAGGATTCTTCGTTGCTGGAAAACGAAGGTGGCATGAGAAGGCACCAGTCGATGCAGAGGTTAACCAGAGATGGCACGTCGGAACCCAGGGAAGCCGCCCGAGTTGTGCAAGACGAAGAGGGCAATCTTCGTGTGACCGTTAAAAAGACAAAACCTATTTTGGGCATAGCTATAGAAGGTGGTGCCAATACGAAACATCCTTTGCCGAGGATAATCAATATAAACGTGAGTACTCGTTCATTGATTTTTTCTTGATATAACGGAAGGTAAATGTCTGACATTCTTTTAAATAGTTACCGTTACTAAGTGAACCTTCGAAAATTAGGACAATGAAAAAAAAATAAAAATAGTTTATTTACAAAAAAAATGTGCAAGCACAAATGACAAAGTGTGGATGGGACAAATATGGAATGAGCTATAATTAAAAAGTATAATTAAATATAACTAAATATAATAAATGCAATAAGTACTAGCTATCTTAAGTTTAGAGCTGAGTAAAGATAAAAACAATCATATTATTTATGTGATTTTAAACTAACCAACCAAACGTTACATTGTGAGAAAAAAAAAGTAGGGATCGAGTGTGTTCTAATTTGGAAAATATTCAGTATAAATTCCAGACAGACACCAGTGTGGTGTTCATTTAAATAATCTTCTAATGAGAAAATGTCTTTTAATGCATGGAAGAATTTCTGAACATACGCTAATACGGGACACAAAGTTTATTTTAGACGTCCAATCAGCATTTGCAATATGTCTCCCAATTTAAGAACACCGTATAGTGGCAATGTCTAAGTATATATTATTATTCAGCCATCTCCATTGATGGTTTAAAAAATTGTCAATCAATCTAAACTCTCTAAGGTTGCTCGCAAGTATACTTAAAAACTTTCGAAGGCATTAGAGACCGGGAACAATTTAAAATTGCACTTGCGGAGCGGATAAATCGATATAGCAGAAGCAGAAGTCTTTCATCTATTCATATATATATATATATATATATATATATATATATATATATATATATATATATATATATATATATATATATATATATATATATATATATATGATGACACTATATTCCGGGATATCATCCGTTCGCTCGTTGAACTCCGACTGGAATCCTGCATCCGACTGGAATCCTGCAGACGTTTCGCCAAAATCTCACTTGGCATCTTCAATGCTCGCGCTCCTAAAACACTTCGAACTGTTTTCGGAGCGCGAGCATTGAAGATGCCAAGTGAGATTTTGGCGAAACGTCTGCAGGATTCCAGTCGGATGCAGGATTTGCAGGATTCCAGTCGGAGTTCAACGAGCGAACGGATGATATCCCGGAATATAGTGTCATCACATTTTTCCATCCGTGAATCAATACGTGAGAATATATATATATATATATATATATATATATATATATATATATATATATATATATATATATATATATATATATATAGTTCAGCATAAATTGGAATATACTGCGTGACCTCTGTAAAATTGGTATTGTTATTATTTTTTTAATATATATTAATTCTTCTATTGTCGCTGTTAGTACAATCAAAATCATTCATTTACCGTGCTACTATTATTAGAAAACGACTTCTTTGACAACTCAAAATTCAAAAACGATAAATTCTCATTTCAAGTGAAGTCCCTATTTTCCAAGTTAATTGATCACTTATCAATTTCAATTTCTACCATACATGGAAGTCTTACATGATCTTTTAAAACCGTACCGCGTGTTAGGTATATATACGCTTAACTATGTTAATAGTACAGTTACTTTTGAAGGCAACATAAAAAATTGTTGAATGGGACATTCATTATGAGCATGCGGCAGTTGCGACACTATAATCAACAGTGCCGTTGACAGCGTCAATATGGTAGTTTTCAGCTTAGATGTAACATTTTATTGAAAATATTTTCTATAAATAATCCCAGAACCCACGAGGTTGTTTAGATTGCTGTTTGTGTATGGGGCTCACATCTGAACCCTCAAGGTCGCGAAGATCACGATCAATCTGAAGGCGTTCCAAATGTGGTTACTTTAAGCTGAAGAAGATAAAGTCGTTTTGAATAGAGCAAAGGCCCATCGAGACCTCTAAATTGTCATGTCTGAGACAGTTCCTACGAAGTGAACTCTCAACTTATTATGAAGGGTACATAGAGGATCGTTGGGGAGTTGGAAGGAAACAGGTCTCTTTTTTGAAGAATATCAGTGAAAGAAATGAAGCAGTGTAGAATAGCTGAAGACAAATACCAACTCGCCATTGTAAAAAAATTCATATAATAGCTAATTTCTTATAACACTTCACACTTTTCGCATTCGCTTTGACTGTATCTTATTTGACTCTTAAATTTTGATTCTCGTGGTGGTGATAATGTTATGAAATAAACTAACTTTGGAAATGAATACTTCGTTCTTTCCTGATCGTTAATTTTGTTCCATTCAGGCGAGCTTATCATATTGTAAATCGAATTGTGTTTGCTCTTCCGTTAAACCGTAGAGTTGGTGGTGTTTAATGTGACGCCCCGTTCGGGTTTTCTTCGCGCTCCTTGCCGACGGCGGCGAAGGCAATCACAAAAATTTATAGTTCTCATTAAACGCGAAATTCCGAGCCTTTAAAAATAAGACAATAGGAATAGAAAATTAATGAGGTTTGCATTGATATCTCGAGCCCTGTTTTATTTAAATGTCTATAATCCTCTCGTTGAATTTCAAGGTTGGCGATATAAAATCTCCTCGCGCGAATAACACACGTTATCATTTACTAGATCTGGCGGTAAAATCGATATAATAATGGGTGTATTTCGTTCGCCAAAGGCGTCGATTTATGAATGTGGGGAAAAATGTTTCTCGAAATGTCGACTCTATAGGATACAGCATTTTTTCTCTTTTTAAACTTTTTAAAGTTGTGACACCCGACTATTCCTTTTAAACAACACGCGCGGGAATGATCGTGACGTCATACCGCTGCTTTTCGATCTGTACGGCCACGTGTTATAGTGTTCCCAAATAGCACAAGAACGTCAGTAAAACGTAAAACATCCTCGGGATATCTGATGGGACATCCTTTAAACGTCTCAAGGAGATACGATGTTATTAACTGGAACGTCCAGTATATCAGATATATCAGTCCTTAGGATTTTTGTTAGGACATACTAAGGATATCCAGATATACTAGTTGAGATGTCGTCAATATATCCGACTGTAAGGATATAGGATATTATATAGATATACCAGTGGACCTTACTTAATGATTAGGTTATTTCCAACAGCCTATGAGAAATACTGGAAAGGTAATGTCCAGTAGTCCAATTGGTTGTACGACTACAAAAAATCTATCCCAGTATTTGCTACTCGAGTGTGATGGAATTAACCTATTGAGTATGGTTGGCGAAGTCATCGCTGGAATCAAGTTTTTTCCAATTAATATTTGATCTTTAATTCTGCTTTTGATGGTATAAGTGAAGGGCTGCCGATTGATACCATTAATCAAACACATTTTATACACATCTGATTTTTTTCTATTGCAGATATGAAAAAATTGTAGGTATATAATATAACGAAAATATAGAACAACCTAACCTAAAGTACCTTAAAAATAGAGTAAGATACTGTATCTTGAACTAAACTCGGAAAGAATAACTATTATTTGACAGGTTTTGCGTCATTATTTGATGAAAATAGCTTTTTTGTGTGTGAGTGTTTGAGTTGTTATCTTCATCTGAAAATATTTTAGTTTTGAGAAAGATAGGTTTTAAGTAAAGGCTTGATTTGATGCTGATAGTACTCTCATGAAAGTAAGTGATTTTAGATACTAATCTCCACGATGATATAGGTATTTCATTTCATTAAATACATTAAACTCTCATCGGTAAGATCTCTTTTAATGAGAGTAGCTACTATCGAGCGCATAAAAAACTGGAACAAATATAACTTTTCAGTTTGACAGTAAAGGTCTATTTTCATGCAATATCTTTTGTCAACCTAAAAATTTTCCTAGTTTTTTTGCTCGTGATAGGAAAAACGTTTTCATGAAATAACCCAAAAACCATTTTAACGCGAAAATTGTACTTTATGAAAGGTGATTCCTAAAATTAATCCTTTGTTTTTGCTACTATACTATATAACGAAAACACTACAATCTAAAAAAACTAAGTATTTTCCTTCTCGGTTGTTCAAAATTTAACTTTTTAGGTTCCTATTGTAATATTCCCATCTATTTAGAGGATATCTGTGGTATATCGTGTACAGTAAATCCATTCAGCCGATATCCCTGGAATGTATTTTGCAGTATATACTGGGGATATTGTGTGCTATCTGGGTACTAGTCCAAAATGGCAAAAATTTTGTATTTTGAATTAAACTATTTTTATTTGCTCTGAAAACACTTTCACATTAACACAAAATTTTCTTATTCAAAAAACCATTTTTTTTTTAAATACCCATTTTCCAAAAATACCCCATAATTCTGAAACGATACTAGATATTCATTTGCGGTTTTTGCGAGCATGTTTTAATTTCCGTCTATCTTGCATTGAAGGGGGAGTTTCTCTTTCAAACGTCCAATTTGCCCTGTACGGCGCCTGATCCCACGCAACATGTTTCCATAGTTATTTTTGTAATACGTTAGAGATTTATGATGAGTTTATTGCTGCACCTTGTCATCTTCAGCATCCGTTTGGATTATTATTAGTATGATTTATTAAATGAATTTAGGAGAATGGTGCTGCCTACTCTTGCGGAGGTCTCGAGGTAGGTCAGTTGATCCTGCAAGTGGACGGCACCCGAGTGGAAGGACTGCAACACCAGGACGTGGCTCGACTCATAGCCGAATCGTTTGCTAGACGTGATCGAAACGACATCGAATTTCTGGTAAATATCGCCGAAGAATTATTATTTTACTATCTGCAACGCATAACTGTAAATTTATTAGGTTGTTGAAGCGAAAAAGAGCAATATGGAACCTAAACCCACGGCACTGATCTTCCTCGAAGCATAACATTTGCTTCGCCTCCCCCCTAGTGACCCCCCGGGGCCTATCATTGTCACCGAAGCCGAGGATGTCGGGAAAAACGACTGACAATTAGAGCTCCAAACTGTCCAAGCTATATCGCAAGAGCCAGATACAGGCGGTATATGTTGTTGCATTTGCCAATAACGTTTGCCGGATTTAAAACGCATTTTGGCTTCGCTGATTCGAATTTTATCTGGATTCAGCGTATTGCGTGTTTTTGAAAGTTGTTAACCTATAATTTTTCGCAGATAAAGTAACTTTATATTTGCTATTTGGAGGATAAGGAAAAAGAATTTATTATTAGGATAAGTACTCTTGTTGACCATCCCTCGACCTCCTAGCGTAACTTGAAATTACAGATTCCTAACCAAAATTTTGCTACTAAAATGCTAATTTCATAAGGATTTATTTAATAAACAAAACGCAAGAAATTCTTAACGTTATTTCTCCTACTGCCTAGGAAATATAATTGCAACAAAAAGCTAAGCTAAAATAATGCCCTGGAAGAGTGTTAAGACTATTTTAAGAATATCCTAAGTAAAATAAAGTTGGGTAATGGGAAAACTGTAACACTAAAAACTAAAAATGCATTTTTGAATAATATTTAAAGCGTGCAAGAATTTAAATCTTTTCTTCAGTAATTATTATAATAGGCACTAAGCGTGACGTTGGATTTTTGATAAAATATCATCAGCCGTATGACAATGGCAATAATTTCTATCCATTATTGCAAACAGAAGCAATTCGAAGCGGCATTTTAAGGGTATGCCTTTGACAGTTGGAGGCTCCATGAAGAATAAAATTCTACAACTACTACATATCATTCGTCGAAAAGCAATATTCGAACATTTTGATGTAAACTTTTCTTATGGCAACTGGGGTTCGTGATCTTAAATATAAACCTAATCTGAAAACTTCAACCCAATTTCAAGTTTTGGCGCCAAACACAAAGCGTTCGAATTATGCTGTAGCTGTGGTGGTAGGGTCAGTAAAATACTTTTACATTGCAATTCTGTGATTTTATACTTAACTAACAATAAATTTGGGCGAAAAGAAGCATATCACGTTTTTTTCTCCAACCTAGTCGATTATTTGATCTGTAACAATAAAATCGATCAATAAGCAAATTCGTACCCATTACTGAAAAAAGCAAAAATGTAAAAGTATTTCTAACTTGTAGATTTACTAATTAAATACTATAATATGCATTAAAACCATTGTAATAAAACATCAATTTCATCGATAATTGTTATGATTGTTATTAATTGTTGTGTACAGCTTTAGTGAAAACAAACGCTTTTGTCGCAGCGTAATGGTTGTGCATATTATAAATGTCGTATTTTAAATATAAACAAGGACAAATGAATTTGAGAGCAACAAACTCGGTTACATCGAGTTGAAAGGAAACTAGCTATAGGAACACCATCAACCAGAAATTAAGAAAATCGAATTAGAAGACAGTAAACTAACTACAAATTCTTATCAAATTCTGCAAATACCCCAAATCTACAGCATCGACTGCTAGGGATCTGTGCCCTCGTCTAATCATAATATTTTCTATATACTGTTAAATATTTTAATGTATTTTCAATATACCAGTGTTTTCTCTGTTTCCTCTTCAAAAATTGGTATAAGTTAATGTTGTTGCCTTTGTAAACCATACTTTAGACATTTACTGAATATATAAACGTCAGTCAAATTTACTTCACATATATCACACTTAAAAGGACGTTCACCGTTAAGAAGATGTTTGTGGGTAATGGTTGTGTGTCCTGTAGGCACTCTAAAACTCGTAGTGCTTTCGTCTGGGTAGTTCTGTGGATGCATATTTTGCCGTTATTTCTAAGCAAAATGTTTTGCAAGTCCTGACTGATTTTTTCGTTGCGATCTCATCGTCATCTAGCAGTTCCCTTTCCTCTTTAGCGTCTATATTTTACTGCTACAAAGCGTGTGATACTTCTTCTACTATAGAAGAATAGAATATAATTCATTGTTTGGGTTTTTGGATATACTTGTACAATCGTCATATACGTTGTATGTATGTCATCGATACTTTTTTTCGTGGGTCTAGTGGCATCAATCCAGATCCACAGTAAAGGTTCCGGATTGGTGTTGTTGGAGAAGCACTCAAGCATTACCTAATTCCGATATTTTGAACCCAATCTTGTAATCTTGTAATAAATGAGAGCTTTGTATATTTGAAGCATGAGGTTTTCTTAGTCGACGAAAATGCGAACATTAAGTTTTTTCTTTTGAAAATTTAAAACCAATTTTTTTGTTATATATCCTTTTTTACCACTGCAGAACACTTCTATATCATCTACTAATCTATCTACTATATATTAATCATTAATAAATATTAATTATAATATTAATCATTAATAAATAATGGAAGCGTACCCTTTAGACCTTTTTTTTCAGTTTTTCTAGTGCTGTGGTCCTTCATCATGTCGAAAGCTCCATACCAAGCTGAAGGCTTCCTGTATATGATGTTCAAGCAGCACTAGATGACGAATATTCGATCGTTTTTTTCTATATCCTGCTTGAGACAAATAAGTCGTTACTCTCTATGTAGCTCTGAAGTCTGTTGTTCACAATTCTGTCAAACAGTTTGCCCATGCAGCAGGTTCAAGGTTGGAAACTTTCTCTCCAGGATTTGGGGTAGACATTCTCAGACCTAGCTTGGTCGCTAAATCTCCGACATTCATATTTAGGAATATCAATAAGTGAAGTGACAGTAGCGGAGTTGTTCTATTACAACGAACAACTGCTATCTGTGGTGGAGTTAGATGATTACAAATTGATACGAAACAATTAAGGAAGGAAGTAAGGAATCATTATTTTTCCGAAGAAAAAAATGAGCATCAAGCAAATGAAACAGAGTTTATTGTTTGATGGTTAAAACTCTTCAATTCCGACTTGACTTGACCCAACTAAGATTTCATTAATAACACATTGACTTGACGCTTGATGATTGTATAAAATATTTTACTAGGCAGTCCAAAACTGACTGGATATATCTACTTGTCGAAAAAAAAATGTCAATCCTAAAAATTTCAAGGAATATCCTATTGCGCATTGTGATAATAACTTTTTTTTATTAAGTCGTATCGTAAGATTTGATTCGATACCATATGCTACAACTTACTAGCACTAGTACAAGTACTCGTTACTCAAATTAGAACGGAATCTCAATGTAACAAAATAATTTGTTGTTCTACAAATTCACCAACGTAAAGCAATCAAATTTAGGAATGTTTAAAATATGACAATCGGTGACACATCCTGCAATTTCTAGAGGGAGAGGCACTGTAGCACTAAAAAAAGGAAAAACAAAACATGTACATACAAGAAAATTATATTTTAAAAATAATTATTTTCTATCGATTACATTGTGGAAACCCCTATGGACATAAACTATAAGAAAGCTAAGAATTTATAGCCGTGCCAAAAACAAGCTTGTATAACGCAAAATATAGCCTTATATTGCGAATTTTCTAAAATATCGCCCCGTTGTATATTTGTATAGTGTTACGGTAATGTAAAAGACTATAGATCTCGATCGATCCTTTTTTTAGATTCGAAGTTGCTCATTTTGCGGTTCACAGGAGATTGCACACAAACTTTCGACGAGTTTGGCCTACCGTACTTATATAAAATTATAATTAAAAAAATGCAATCAAGACTTGGTGCGAATAAGCATTTTAGGAAACACGAAGTGACAAAAAAGGATTAAGATGTGTTTTATGATTATGCTAACACAAAAGTTAAGAGGGCATTAACCCCAGCTATTTTCTCTATACAGATCCAGTTTTTAAAACAAATGCATAATATATTCTCGGGAGACATAATCGACCTATCCAACATTTTGATAAATTAGTATCGTTTTTTTTTTGTTTTATGTAGTTTATTGACAGATTCTTCAATTTGTCCTAATTGAGCATTTTGGTTCAAATTTCAGTGTGTGTATAAGCCAACCTACAATATGAAAAAAAAATTGATTTAAAAATTAAAAAATGCATGTACTATTAAAATATATCAAATGAAAAGGATCGATTATTATGTATACTTCATGCTCAATCAGATTATATGAGAGATGACACCAAATTTCCACTGGGACATTCAAATTACAGTCAAAATAAAATTGCCTACTGGCACGATAGGGGAAGTTTTTTGTTGGAAAATTTTATTAACGGGGCTTAAAATTACGAACCTTATTGTGCCCTCTTAATATGTTAGGAACTGCATTTCGATCCGCAATAATTTAAATGAAAGATCAAAAAACATCTCATCATGTTATCGTACTCGTTTGTACCAGTTGTCGTTAGCATTCTTAAATATAATATGTCCGCCTTCACTGCAACTTGCAAAGCACTGTTAAGTTAAGCGTCATTTAATATTACGTATTACTTAACTTAAGCATTACTTATAATAACACGACGATTAGTTTAGATAAGGAAACTAGAGCTTCTAGAAAATTTGTTGTCTACTGTGTAAATTCGTACCGTATTATATTAGGAATATAGCACGATTATCAAAAAATTAACTGCAACCTTGAAAATACGCCGACTTAGTTTTTCATGTCGAATTTTTAAATGAAAATGTAATGTTGAACTGTTCAATTTAATATGCTTCATTATAAAGCAGACTTGAAGGTTTTTAGTATATGAAAATATAAATTAATTTCTAAATAAATTCTAAAATAGGATCAAGTTTTATTCTTAACACAATGTTTTACTTTTTTGATTATTGAAATTATTTGTATATTAATAATTATGAAAGGAACGATTCCTTTTCTCCGTAAGATTTTGTACATCTTTAGAAAGTAGTTGACATTAAAAAAAATTTAAGAGGCAAAAATGTCATCATTATGTATCTAACCACCGCAAATGTGTTACATTACACAACTTCTGAATGTTAAATGATCCAGTGGTATCCTCTCATCTTATAAATATTTATAAAAGGTTGTCTTTGCTATTTTCTAGACGACAAAAAAAAAGATACAACGATCTTTTGTTGGTTAATGTGGCATAGATAAAAAAAATTAAAAAATGCGCGAAAATGGAGGATAATATTACGACGAGAATAATGAAATTATTATGAACTAACTTTGAATCAGTACGAATTTACATATAAATCACAACTTGTTGCATATTAACTGCTGAACTAATTAAGAGAAATACCTGTATATAGCGACTAGGTGCTACAATCGACTTTGTTCCCAAAACGTTTGATAATTTGTATTTTTTAAATAAGTTAACGTTTTCGCTAATGTTAAATATTGTTGTTGATAATACGCGTAAAAAATCAGGGATAAACAACACGCGATCTAGTGTACACTCCCTCCCCTCATCGCTCTATTTTTTCATTTCTTTTTTTTTTTGTTTTCAGCAAATTTGACAATTTATTTTAGTATTGAAAGTGTAATTATCCACAGTGCTGGGATGCATGAATAATCATAATACGTTTTCATATTATATTGAAATTAAATTAAATAATTATCATCTGCTTGCATTTTTTTTTCTGCAGCTCTCGTTTGGTAGGTATTATACAAAGGTCTATGCTGGATTCGCATCCCTAATTATTCCAACATTGTGTCTGTTGTTTCATACCATATAAAAAGTTTTAATTAATAAATAAATACGTTGTTACGTTATATCATGTAATTTTTATTGCAATAAATAAATTGTCAATTTGTGTAGAACAATAAAATACCGTTTTATTTGCCTAACCAACACTGACCAACTAATTAAAAACATCAAACTTGCATATCATACCGATTTTTTTTTATTATTTGACTGGCGGTCCATTATTTCATCCACTCGTTTTCCGAATTTTTGTATCTAAATGTAATGTTGTTTTTTGGAAACCCGGCTATTTGAACTAAGCTTAACCGCAAGTATAATATTTAATCTGATTAATGGAAAGAATAGAATTCACGTGGCCTAGTAATGAATGCTTCACCGGTCTGTTTTATTTTGTCTGTTTAGTTACTTTAAGGGGGCGACAAACAAAGTTACTGCCAAAATTGTTATTTTCGACTCCAAAAATTAAAAACACAATAGGAAGAAAAATAATTTTTCCCAAGAGAAACTTTTTCGCTGCCTATGGATTGAATGTAATTGATATATTTGATTAAGTTCCTTCTTCCCTCTTCTATGGTCAATATTTTTGGCTAGATGTAGGCCTCAGTGGTTATATCTTTCCTTATTTTTGGCTCATCGCTATCATTTAAAAACATTTAATTAGGTTTTTTTCCAAATATTTTGTGTGCATTTTTTAGTGAGTATTTTACTTTTATGTGCCGCAAGTAATGATCAAACGCCCGGCATTAGTCTATGGATATCACCTCTTGGAAAGACTGAGTAAAGTCTTTTGAGGGAATTTAATGTCGTTTTCCTTCATCATTATATATACACTATTAATGAAACAGTAGTTAGTTTTAAGGTGTTAGTAAATCTTTTAAAATACACCAGAATAACATCTTCGGTTATTTTCTTAATCTATTCTTCCTCCATACAAATTTTAAACAACTTGTTCATATCTCTCGTGAGATTTATTCCATTATTTTGTCCAAAAAATACGATACGAGACGGCTATAGATCATTATTGAACTGTAAAACTTATGATCTTACCGTACTCCACCGGCATGGTATTTTAAATGTGATGATTGTCAAGGTTCCCGAGAGTGATAGGTAGACGGACATATAGTTAACTTACATATGCCTTGATTTTTAAAATCGGAATCATAGTTACTTTGTGGCAATTCTTGGTTGGTCATAAAAACTGAAATTCGGAGATTTGCATTTGCATTTAAATGCACAGAATATCCAGAATATATGAATCGAAAAAATGAAATGAAAAATATGAAAAATTATGAAGATGTTCCGTTTTTTAAAACTAAAGCCGTTTTTCAGAAAATCGATTATTTTTTATCTATATAATAAACCTATGCGAATAAATATAAATAAAACAAAAATAAATCATAGTAAAAGTTTTCATATATTTACACACATTGATACTTCCATAGCAAATTGTAAAATATACAAATATTGTTTGGGATTATAAAAACATATAATTAATAATTCAATAACAGTCGCAACTTGCACAACATACAATTCGTAAATTAACAAACAATTCTTTGCAATTATAAAAACAATTTATAACTAATTTTCCCAAAAGAAAATTGTGTCTTCTATCTGCACAAATGTTTTAAAATGTATAAATTTAAAAAATTAAGTTTGTTTCTAATTTAAACAAACCTAGTTGTATTTTGAAATTAGTGAAATTGCCTATAAAAACTTCTCAAAATATATTTTAGGATTTTGAAGCCTGGGTTATTTTCAACAATTTTAACTCATTTTTTTACAGTTTGCTTGTAAATGACATCAACACTACGTTTACGTATAGATGACTTGTCCAGTATGTTAAATTTACAATATTTTGTCAAAAATGATCTTAAATTGATTTGCTCAGTTTTTTAAGTGGCATATTAGCTCCAACGAATGAAAGTGCTCGTTACACCGGGCTTGTTCGCTGTTTTTTATTATTTTGTCTGTAGAATAAATTTTTATCCACATAAAGCTATAAAATCAAAAAAATCAGTAATTAACTTGGGTTTACAAACGTTAAAAAAACGAATTAAAAAAAATCCTACTTTCGCGAAAAAAATGAGTAGACAATTTTTATAAATATATTAAAATTGTTTACATTAACTAAACACAAATTTTCTTGAATACGCAATTGATAAAATCAGCAGCAATTTCCTTTCACCGAAAAACTAAATACATCTTTCTTTTTTTACTATAAAATAATTCAGTAGAAAAATGTTATAAGCATAAATATTAACTACAAATAATGTACTTGAATACGTAATTTGTAGAGCCTAAATTTGCCAAAAAAGATGTATCTTCCTTTTTTTAGTATATACTGGTTTATACTTATAAATTTCAAACACGCTGTCCAAAACAAATTGGTGTCATCCCTAGTGAACTCAAGATAACTCTTTATCCACAACGTATGGAAGACAGTTTTGGGCATTTTAACAAACACTAGACGTCTGATACAATTCACTTTACAAAACAAGGCACACAAATGCTTTCGAAATAGAGGGTGTCAAATATCCTAATAATTTCCACCCTTTTGAACAATCGGATTCTGTTTGCAATACTATTTCATTAATTTAACAAATAAAGAACCTTTTGCTTTTTTTCTGGGAATACCCTATAGTGTGGGTCGATCATTTATAAAAAAGCAGTAAAGGACTTCATTCGGCCCCATCGTAATGTAATATAAACACGTGCTGTGTCGAAAATTGCTGGACAGGGTCTATATTTGACAATAACATGCAATAAATTCTCTGTTATTGGAGAAAACCCCCTTTCGTGCAAAACAAAAAAAAACAAAAAAGATCCGTTCCTCTTTAAAGTACCATTTCGTTCTCATATTGCGGTTGCAAAAATAAATTACATCCAGCTGATTCCCTCCGCAAATTTAGATGTTTATAAATTGTATTTGATTATTTATTTATTTATTTATCAAAACAGCCAGTATAACAAGTTGCAGCATTAGCATTGTAAACGCCAGAAATTCTCAAATCTCAAAGTCAAAGAGATTCTGTGACACAATCCAGCCATTTATTTGAGCAGTGATACTCGGCATTATCAAAATTACTGCTCTGGTTTATCGTTATTTGCGTCAACATTCAACTTACGAAACCTCTATCGGGTTCGCGTTCTCAATTAGCGTTGTGGAACAATGGCGTCGAGAATTTCGAAATGGTTCTGTTTACCGCGTCGACTTTATTCGAAGTCGCACTATACAGAGTTACCAGCGGACACGTTCGAAGGCCGGATCGTTCACAAGTCAAAAATTCGGAAAAAAGGCGAAGCCGCCCCAACGAAATATGGAGGCAGGAATATTGTTACTATGTTGCCAGGTTTGTATTTTCGATTTTGCTAAAGTATAATGGCGGCCATTTTACCTGAATTTTTTGCATGTGGATGATGTAATTTGAAAACCTTACAGTCTTGTCGGATAAAACACAAAAATTTTGATTTTTTTAATTATTTATCAATTTACAATAGCTATTGTGAATTTTTTGCAAATAATTATTTGTTTAGGACTTTATTTCAACTTGAATAAGGGTTTTGTTATTTAAATTCTAACCCCGAAATTAAAGTAATTAACTTCCAAAAAAATCCATGAGTCTATCCCACTGATGAGGACATTTTAAGAAAAAGAGACACGCAAATATTACAATAGGAAATAATTATCAGGATGAGTGATAGAAAAAATAAATATAATAAGAAACTTAAAATTTGTTAATATTCATGAAAACATTACTGTTTGAATAATTAGTCTGTAGTTTTGGCTATTTTTTCAATTGTTACTAATTCATTTATTTATTAAAATATATAATCGTTATTAGGTAAAACTTTATATATCCAAAAGGACTGAACCGAAGTAAACAAAAAACTAGTAATTTTTATAGCATGCAATAATATAAATTTCAAATAACAAATCAAATATCATCTTCCGATATAACCAAAATTAATATACAGGATGGGCAAATAATATAACATTTTATAACTAAACTGACAGAAAGGAAGTGGAAATTAGTTGGAGCAGTAAGGCAGAATTCACACTTATTTCCGATTATGTTATTATTACGGTTATTTTAATTGTTGTTTTAATTATTTATTATAATAATCCATTACAGATATATTGTGGAAGGCTTTTTTATTTGACCTCGTATAGTATCCGGTAAGAAAATTTCCACAACAGTAGTTTTTAACCAATCAAAATTGATTCGCTATAAATCAAGTTTGGCTTATATCTATTATCTTGAAATACATATATTAATTAAATAGTGTTACATATAAATACATTAAACTAGAGAACAAAACAATTTACTTATAAAACTTTGTGTTTTACGGCATTCTACCATTTTAAATATACAAAAATCAACAAATACTAGAAACCAGAAATCCCTATTTTTGGATATATTGAAGAACATATTAAAAAACAAAAAATATATTAAGCATACAAAACAACTATTTATAGGTGGTATGTAAATTATAATATGTATTTATACATAAAAAATACATATTACTACATATACTAAAATCTTTATTTCACAATTTGACCATACTTTCTAATTTTTTTTCTGCGGGTATCATCTCGCAAAAATTTTTTGCTTTTAAATTTCTGCTTACAAAAAAAGATCAAAAGGCTTTATAAGGCCCCCATATGATAACTGTTCTACCCAAGGGATATATATATATATATATATATATATATATATATATATATATATATATATATATATATATATATATATATATATATATATATATATATATATATAACTAACCAAAACACTTCGAACACTGTGTTCGAAGTGTTTTCGGAGCGCGAGCATTGAAGATGCCAAGTGAGATTTTGGCGAAACGTCTGCAGGATTCCAGTCGGATGCAGGATTTGCAGGATTCCAGTCGGATGCGGGATTCCAGTCGGAGTTCAACGAGCGAACGGATGATATCCCGGAATATAGTGTCATCACATTTTTCCATCCGTGAATCAATACGTGAGAATATATATATATATATATATATATATATATATATATATATATATATATATATATATATATATATATATATAATGATGATCTGTGGTAATTTTATAAGTATAATCTCCTAAATTGGGGATATCTGTTTTGTGTTTTTTACCGAAGTAGCCCGCAATGTACTCAAAGCATCTTCAGCAGTTTTCTTAGCACCCTGATTAAAATCAGATTGATCCTTAGATCCACTGCTTTGGGACTCGTTATGTAAATTGTAAACAGGCGTGTCTGTTGGTGGCTTCTGGTTAAATAATAATAGGGCGGGAACAGCAGTTTTTTTTAGAATCTTTTTTAAAGGTAAACCTAAAACGTAAATTTAATGTGTTACTAAAAACAAAAAACCTAATAACTCATTTTGAAAGTATCTTTCGTAATCATTTTCCACATCGAACTATCCACTCGTTCCGAATAATTCGGTATACTACATCTTTCCCTTTGGGAAAGCAATGAAAACTACATTTTCGAGAACTTGCTTTTTCATCAAAATTGTTGTTATTGCACCCATACATCTCGTTCCAGGCAAACCTAACTATTTTTTGATGTAACTTATCCCACTGAAAAAGGTAAAAGAAATGTATTTCTTACCTTTACCTATATTATTATGTAATATTTAATAATATTTCGAGCTTACCTCCTAACTAATAACACCGCTAATAAGCAGCACGAACACAAAACTTTTAAGTCTTTGTCTAAGGTCAAAAATACTGTTTTTCTCAGTTCTCGCCACTCAAGCACATGCAATTTTAAAGTATTTGTTAAAGCTTAAAAACACTGTTTTGTCCAAGTTGTTTTTACAGAAATACAATTAACACAAACATAAGCGCACTACTCACTAGTTTAAATTATTTCAATTTTTCAAAGAAAAAATCAAACGGTTTAATACGCCTTCAAATGCATTGACAGAATACACAAAAACCGTTAGAGAACTTCGCTTACGTCACAAGCGACCACGTACGATTGATTATTTTGGTGAACGTATGTCTTATGGGATTAGGCAATCCTACTAGGTTTACGATTCTTAGGAATCCACAAGGATAAAACTTCCACTAAAATTCAACTGTTGTCATGGTGATTGTCAAAAAAACACCTTTTGATTTGTTAAAAATTGCAGGTGTGGAATATTCTTAAAAATTCGATCTGTTAAAATAATTGTATCATTCTGTTTAAAATGTAAGAAAAAACGTTATTAAAACTGCAAATGTATAGACGGGCTCCTTCAAGCGGGACCTGCGAAGACCAGTTTGTGACAGGTAATTTTTTTTCTGAATAAGCGAGATCTAATTTGCTCAAATATGCTCAAACTTTCAATCAACCAGACATTTCCCTTCCTCCCGATTTTCTTTGATGCCCTGCAAATAATAGTGATGAGTCAAGAAGATGCAGAATTTTACTAGGATTATCAATAAGTGAAGTGAACTGCAATACATGTTTATAGCCGTCCCCTAACGGCATGGATATGAACTTGGAAATTATTTCCAGCATGTCCTTTCAGTTTTTTCAAATCGGTTGTACTTTTTTTTGCGGTTTCGGTTATACAGCCGCTTGCTCACCTAGTACAATTATAGTACACTTATGAAAAAATATATAGATATGTATTTTCCAAAGAAACTTCACAGGCTACTGTGTATGTAGTTTGATAAAATTCAAACTTATTCGGTACTCGTAGTGCTCAGCATTCTATCAAGTAAATTCATGTACCGTTGCAATTCTGTAATTAAATTAATTAATTAATACAAATTTAAATAAAATGAAATTGTTATTGCTCTTTAGGTGTCAACCCAGGCCCAAAATTAATGTCTTACGTTGAAGATGTCTATAAAACAGCCCGCGTTCCAATCGATTTTGAGGTAATTTCGTATAATGGCAGCGAAAATGAACAAGAAACCAACGTGTTTGCCCAGATGGCCATCACATCAATGCATCGAAATGGGGTTGGGCTGAAAGTTAGTAAAAAAAATAAAAATTAGCAAAATATTATGCGGTTTTTTTGTCTTGAAACGAAAAAAGAACAATAGGAATTATTACATTGGAATAAAAATTCTATTCACTATTTTGTAGGGAAATATAGCTAGTCCAAATTTGGCCATATCCTCTAACGTTGCGTTAAGAACTGAGCTAGATTTGTTTACATGTTTGGTACATGTAAAGAGTTACAAAAATATAAGGTGTAGATATTCAAACCTAGATTTGTATATATGTAGGCAAAACACTGAAGGTGAGTACGGAATGCTGGAACATGAAACGAAACCCGGACTAGTGGAAAGTTTAAAAATCATCACCGCAGAAAACACAGAAAGGTTTGCCAGGTGGACGTTCGATTTTGCATTGAAAAACAATCGAAAAAAGGTTACCATCGTCCATAAGGCCAATATTATGTGAGTGGCTCCTTATTTGCTATTTTTTGAAGGTAAAAAGTTGGTATGAACGAGTAATTAAAAATGCTTCTTTATCGAGATGCAATGTGTCAGAGTTTTATTTTTATTTTAGTCTCTTCTGACTTCTGAAAAATAATTTGTATGGTCTGTTCATAGATATAAGAAAGTGACCAATTACTTTTGAATGGCATTATCCAAGGGTGGTCATTAACATACAATGCAACAAGATTATTACCTAAAGTTTCGAAATTTAAATTCAGGTAAAATTGTGGTCCGTAATAGAAAATAATTTTATGCCTACCTGTGTTTAATATTCTTTGGTTTGGTATACTACTTAGTTTAAGTTTATTAGTAATCATTCTTATTTCGTATGTAATACAGCGTGTGTTGAATCGTGTGCGAATTATGCAAAATATGTGCAAGTCTAGTGTATCTCAGGAGATTCTCCCGCCCAAATGTACAAAACACTATTCTATTGAGACTAAGGAAGTTGTAAATAATGTTTATTTGATTCTCACTGAACGTGGTGCCAGCAAGCAAGCTTCTTTAGAAGAAACGGCCACATTAACGAAAATTACAAAACCAACTGTATTGAAAATTGTGAATAATCGCATTTCAGCGAGGAAAAAGGTTGGGTTGGGTTGGGTTGACTCAACTGATAAGTGTAAAACAAACGCGCCATCAAAAAGAGGTAAAACAATAACTATTTTGCATGCTGGCTCTAAATATGGTTGGATTCCAAATGGACTTTCTCTGTCTGCGAAAAATATTAAAGATTCTTCTCTGGATTATAATTAAGACACCACTGCTGATTTATTTGAGAGTTGGTTTAAAAACAAACTAGTTCCAAACATTCCTCCTAATAGCGTCATTGTAATGGACAATGCAGTAGACAGTTGACTAAAACTCCTTCCTCATGTGACACAAAAGCAACAATCCAAAACTACATGTATAATAACGACAATTATTTTCACGAAGATTATACCAAAAAGCAAAAAAAAATCTAGGGCATACAGAGCATACCACTGTATATTTAATCCCATTGAACATGTTTGGCATCAACTCAAATCTGCCATTCGCCATATCAATCTTTTCCCCGTGTTAACTCCAATGTCCTCAAAGAAAGCGAAGTTTTTAACATCCCTCCACAAAGTTGGGCAAATTCTGTTAAATATATAGAAAAAAACAGAACAATCGTATATCCAAATTGCAAATAATATAGAACAAATAATAATTAGAACAGGCGATGATAGCGATAATGGTACTGATATATTATGTGAATAATTTTAAGTAATTTAAGTAGGTAATAAAAATAATTTGTAATTTTATTTTAGATTTAGACATAATTACGTACATAAATAAATAAATATCGTTTAGTATCTTTCCTAACAAAACCCCAAATAATTAAATTCTAAGCAAAGTACGGACCTGTTCGGCCATATTTCATTCTTACAGCTTTCCCGAGTCTTTCCTTAATTCGTATCAGTTAGTCACTTTCTTATATCTATGAACATACTTTACCTGGGCGTTTTTTAGTCTGAGAAATTTGAGTTTTTTCTAATTCAGTATTTTAGGATTTCCAAGGCTTGTAACTTTTATACGATCCCGTATTATATTTTTCACACAATTTTGTAAAATAACTTTTTTTAATCAACATAAAGTATTTTAAACACACTAAACTAAGTAAATAAGAGGTGAAAACTAGATCAAAATCACAATAAATCTTGATATAACGAGAATATTTGCCGGTTGTCCCTCAACCATGAGATTCATTTATTAAATTATGTGATGTCATTTCAATAACACCTTGTATAGTATTCCGTAAAAAAAATAGCGAACTCAACGTAAAATTCTGCAAAAATGACTTAAAACAGTAATGTGAAAATTTCTCCGAAAAAGAAATTTTTTGATGCAAAGTAAACTCAATATTAGTTAGTTTTTTCAATCTATCATCAACGATTTTAGGAAACTCTCGGATGGCTTATTCATGGAGGTTGTCAAAAACGTGGCAAATGATTATCCGCAGATAGAGGTGAACGCTATGATTATTGATAATTGTACCATGCAGCTGGTCCAAAAGCCGCATATATTCGATGTGATAATTACCCCTAATCTCTACGGTAATATACTGTCGAATATAGCATGTGGACTTATCGGAGGACCTGGACTGATGTCAGGTCAAAATTACGGAGGCACTTGCGCTTTGTTCGAAGCTGGATCTCGTCATCTCACTTTTTTAGGTAGGTATGGGCCAACTTTGAAATTTATTCCAGAATTTTTGAGCTGGACGGTTTTATGAATAGAAAATGAAAATATACTTTGATCATGTAAGATAATAAAAAAATAGTTTCAAAATAATTTATATTACTTACTGCCTCTAATTCTTCACGACTCCAATTTAAAAGGGTGTCAAATTTTCAAATCTGAACTAGGTTTTCGAAAAACTAAAAATTAAAAACTGAAGATATTAACATTCATATTGAGTTTTTATTACTCACATGGGAACATTTGGATTATTGTAAAATGAAACGGCGAGATTCACTTTCTTAAAATTCTAAGGTACTAATTTACGTGCCATTAAGTCAATTTTTATTTTGCTGTGCAATTTTGCAAATTTGTTTACAATATTTAACTTTTCGGCTCTCAAAATGCCTAATTTTTTGAGGACTCGCTTGTTGCCACTTTTTAATTAGGGCTAAGAACGACGTGCGTGTTGTAAGCATCCTTTCTTATTATATTATGGTTCAATATTAATTCAAGTTACTTAAGAAAATTCAGTAAAGGCAAACCTCTGGAGGATCTAAAGAAAAAACGCGTATGTGACGTTGACTGAAATCGAAGTAATATTAACTGTTTTAATATAATATGTTGCCAATCTAAGAACGACCCTGTAAATAATTTTGTAAGATTTGTGCATATGCCGTCACTTTAAACATATTGCAAAATATGCGTATAATATGCTTAAAATTAAAAGTTAAAACCAATAAAGAACAAATATGGTGGATCGGAATCGGGTGTTTGACTTCTTTTATTACGATTTGGATCCGGTCCTGTCAACAAATGAAGATATAGGAATTGAAATTTGTCAATTTAGGTCAATTTTCGCCTAGCGCTATCTTTGGGTGGATGTATTATACAACCACGAAAGAAGTCGCGTGGTGAAGAGGTGTATTATTTCGTAATTGTAATTTTTTTTACAGATGAAAATAATTTGAATCCGACGGCTATGCTTAATGCTTCCGTAGATCTGCTTCGATACTTAGACAAAGACGAACATGCGAATATAATAAACGACGCGATTACTCAAACATTATCAATCGATAAAATTCAAACGCCCGACATAGGAGGTACCCACAGCAGCGACGAGGTAGTGGACAACATAAAAAAACATGTCAGGGAATCGTTGAAAACTTCTAACATTCGAGCATTTTAAACTTTACAAGTCACAGCAAACAGAGTCATCGTCATTAACTGTGCCTAAGTTCAGCTCTACGTGAAGTGTCATACTTCATAGACTCTGACAATTAATCCGCGCAAAAGATCTACGTGTAAGGTTTCGTAACTGTTGAGAAAGATTTGAAATTACCTTCACCTTTACCGAATACTTTATAATCTCGGCGGATTGCATTTTGTCGGTAGTATTAAGCATATTGGTTAAAAATTAGTGTGCTAGAAATGGCTAGCATAGGATAACATAATAAATAAAAAAAATCTCAAAAATGTATATAGTAGATAAGCTTTGTTGGCGACTATATAAATCTGTTATGAATATAATTTTCATTTTCTTTTAGTTCAATTTTTTCTTTAACAGAAAAAAAATGTTTGAATCAAATATTTTTAAACCAATAGTTTTATCAAGTTATAAAAGGTATTTATAGCAAATATAAATATGTATACTTACTACAGAACCAGTTCAAATTAAATATAGTATGGACCAACTAAACTTTCGATGAATTGACGTTTCTCGTGTACCCAACATGAGAACTAAAAGTGGCTAAATAAAAATACTACATCTAACTACGTGGAGTATTATATTATATTATCCTTTGAGCAATTCCATATTTCCTTCATTTCCATCTTAAATTCGTGTGGTGTTTTTCTAAAACGATCCGCATTATGTGATTTAGTTTTTGATTTTTTTGGCGATTTTAAGACATTCCTGTAACCATATTTTGAATTATTTTGCAATTAAAATGTTTACGAGTATTGGAAATTTTAAAGGTCGCTACTTAACAAACCACTAGTCACTAGAAAATGACAAGCTTTGATTACAAAAGTTATTCGGTTTATTTAGAAAAGTCCAATTTAAGTTGCAAAAATATGGTTTCAAATTATTTTTTTGTCTTTTTTTTAATATAACATATATTTCCGCGGGGAAACTTTTTTACACAAATAACACAACCTTTTTCAATAAAATACGTATTTTAATTAATATATGCGAATGTACAATTTCAACAAAAACATTTAACTTTAACTCAAACAGCTTACTGACTCAATAACTGCAACTCATAAGGCTCTATCAATTTTCGTGATATCTGCAACCAATCCCAACTAAAAGTCAATTAATGTTAGGATTAGTTTAGTATCCTTTTTGAATGAAATATATATCTTTTTGCATAAATATATTATATATTACCAACCAAAAATATCCTGGGGTTGGTTAATGTTTCAAAGACTTCCAATTCAGATTCCACCAAGCAGATCTTTCCTTTTGTTTTTCATTTTCGAATTCAACCACCGAATATGATGGTGCCATTTATACCAATTTACTTTCGATAGATAAGATGTTTAACTCAAATAAATAACGCAACACTACAGTTATATAATCTCTGATAATATAAAATAACCAATCATGTTCAATTGCCCAAAATTGGAAACCAATTTCAAACCAAAAATAAATGTAAGTTTTTACATTATGCGATAAACCATACAAACTAGATACATCATCACATTTGGAGAATTCATATACTATTTGCTAAGGGTGGATCAATATAAAGTATTTCTCTCAGTGTATTATATCGGTACTAGAAGAAACATATTGCGGTTGCTGCTGTGTAGGTCCGTTCTGCAAAGGCATCGAGTTTTGTGGATAACCTGGCTGGGTCATTCCTGGTGGCGGTAGGAAATTTGGCATACTAGGACAGACAAATATAGAGCGAAACATTTTTGTAAAAATTTTATTTAATCTAAGTCTGCAGCATGTATCACATGCACTCAGCAAGATTAATATCCCCTTTAATCAATTTATTAGAAAAAGGAACTCACTTAAGTGGAACATGATGGACCAAACGGTTGTCTATTCTCCTATGATCCGCCCCCAGATGCTGTGGCGGAATATGTTGGGAAACACCTGCCTGTTGTGCTCCACGAGGTTGCAGACCAGATAGGACACTTCCAGGTTGAGGCAATTGATGCAACGGCATGCCACTTGAATGGGGCATTCCTGGCAGGGAATAATGCTGCAGTTGGGGAGGTTGGTAGGGGAGACGCTCTTGAACACCTGGAGGAAGCCCAGGCGGTCCGGGTACAGTATGAGCAAGGGAATGTTGTGGAGGATTCATTATACCAGGAGGAGGTTGCATAGTTTGGGGGGGCAAGGTACCGGCAAACGGCTGAAGGGAAAATTAACATTAAAATATTTACTAACACAATTCAATAGTAAAGTGTTCTATAAAATGATAAATCTTACCACTGACCCCGAAGGTGCTGGATATGAGTACACTCCTTTATTTAGAAGTGGAAATTGAGGTTCCTTCATGAGTGAGTGATATAAACCTAAACCCTCGACTAGATCCGCACTCAGTTTTGTAAGTTTAGCGTGCTTACGGTCAACTCTTTCTAACTCAGAGTCAATTAATGGACCCATTGCAACAACTTCCCCTACAAATGATTATAGAAAGCAATATTTTAGTGAACCACTTAATAATATAATGTAATAAAAATTTTAAAGGATCTTACGTTCAAGGTTAAGCATTTCTGGAGTGTCTTTTTCAGGATTAGTTGGATCAGCTTCATGTAACAAATGTAAGAGTTGGTCGATTTTGGATTCATTTATTTCCACTTCTTGCAGTCCTTTTTCAGCTACCTTTACATCATCTTTAAATTGTACTGACTTTTTATTTTGATCTTGTTCTATTAAAAATACAGATTTTAGTCAGCATTATACGGACAAACCTAAATATTTCTTACTGGACTTTTCTGGTTCAACTGACAAATCGGCTGTGACAAAGTTTGCAGGAAACAGGCCTTCGCCTCTTTGGTTGCTTCCCTTCCACCAATTTGAATCTGAGTCATCAATTACCATAACTGCAATTTTGTATCAATTTTGTTACTTACCACAATATTTTAGAGCAAAACAAAAGAAAAAGATTGCTTACTGATTTCTCCCGCAGTAAATGTCAATTCGTTGTCCTCTGCAGCTTCAAAGTCATACAAAGCTCGAACTTTTCGCGGTTCTTTCACTGGAGCGGCTGTCGAAGAGGAACCAGTTGAGACAGCACTCGCAGCAATGGAAGGATATAGTGAGCTATTTTTCGTCCTTGGGGATCCTGAAGTATCTTTCAAAGATAGTTCTATAGCCTTTAAAATTTGTTCTTCTTCTTCTTGAGATTCCACAACATTTGGGTCTTTGTTCGCAGCAGCAGATTTTTTAACAGGCTGTTTAAACAAAATGGATAAATACTTTTTCTTGAAAAACAATCAAACTTACTGTCTCTGATGTGGAAAAGTCATATGTACTTTTTAATTTATGGTACAAAGATGGAATAAGGCTAAGTTGACCATCAGATTTAAATTCATTTTCTGCCCAACGTTTCAGGGACTCTCTTAATTTTTTACTAACTGTGGGATGCCCCTTTTGCATCAGCTTTACAAAATCATTTTCAAAATCTCTAGAAGCCACTTCAATGTGGAATGTTTTTCCAGAATTCTTCACACAGGCATCCAAAAGCTAAAAGAAACACAACCAAACTGAATTTGAAACATCCTAGACAGATTTAAAAACAATAAAACTTCTTTTCACTTAGATACATTGTCAGCAAAAAAAAAATAAAAATAGAAGAATAGTAAAGAAACACTTGGATTCAAGGAATTGCCACTGTTATGCTACTTGCAGACAGCTAGAAGTAAACAAGGACAATCAAGATAATAAGACTTAACTTGGCCTTCTTTCACAGAGTGAACAAATTTACAGAAATCTCTAGCAAAATGACTTTTATAAAAAAATCGAAATCCATGGTTTTATCAATATCATCCCTATTTATTTTCAAGTTTTTAAATTAGGTTTGAACTGAAATTGTAACATTTTTATCAAATGGAACATTTGGCAATTTTATTTATTTAACAGTACACATATGTTAAATGATTTTTACAATTAACTGAGGGCAAACTTACCGTTACAGCTTTGACTCCAATGTGGGGATCGGTATTGAATAAACGTTTCACAATCGCTTTTAAATATGCTTTGGAATCTTCGCTAGATTTACCAGCCTTATCACAAATATTTATAATAATACTCCAATCTTCGTCAACCGATTTTTCGCTCGTTGCGTTTTCTGAAAATGCAACTCAGTCGTTTTACTATAATGAATGGTCAATGATACTAACAAAGTACGTTTGCTTATTCGATTAGTAATAAAAACCATAAAAATTGAAAAACGTCGCAAAACATATGACTCACCAACTTCATCCACAACAGAAGTATCCTGTGTTCCACCAAAGAAGCCCATCTTTTATCGTAAACGAGAGACACCCCTAGTAATAGCCAAAATAAATTACAACAGTAGAACCATTATAATCAATCCAATTAATTTTTATAATATTTTTTTATCTAGAATGACGAGACGATGTAAATTTTGACACTATTTGTTTTGACATAAACCATAGTAAACAAAATATACATGACCAAAGGTTTTAAGGAACATAGCCATTTTTTAAATATGTTCAATTTGAATTGTTCTAGCCACATTTTCCCAAGTTTTCTTTAATAAACTTTAGTTGGTAATCTTCAACATCGCTCTTAAATGCTAGGTTTATAGACTCTACGAGCAGTTGTTTAAAATTTGGATGATTTATTCTTGGTTTATAGGCAGTTCCAATCTTGGAATTGCTAATATGAACTGCATACTAATATTTATATGTAATAGTTCACTTTATAATAAATTGTGATGTCTAGCTGTTAATACTATTCAATTGTTATAATGCCCAAACTTTACCTATTATCTAACTAAATCGATGATTTTAACCGATAATGTTTAAAGTCAATTTTTTTCAAGAAACTAAGTCGACCGATAATGAGTGAAAAATCCTAGCAAATATACCTACCTTGCTGTGACTGAAGAATTCAAGAAGTGTCAGAGATGTTAATTTGGTTAGTTTCTTATATCCAATGGTCATTTTGGACATGATATGTGTTGTCCTGTTTGGATTGGTGGTTAACCACTCATACTTGGCAGCTGATTGTTGTTGACGTTCTTTAGAGTAATAGATATGAATTTTGCAAGGTAGTTTATAATTTGTGTGAAAATTGAAAATCAATAAGTAGACTGTCGGCAATTTCATTGCCATTTTATTTTAGAAGGTACGCTTTTCTAGTTGGAAAAGAATATAATTTTCATTAATTTTTTCGGCATAATTTTAGGTTATATTATTGCTTACCAGTATTACTTTCCACGATAAACCGAGAATTCCTTTTATTTTTAGGATGGAGATGGTAAATCTACTTAGTAAAATTTTTTTATTAGTGTTTCTAAGTAATGTAAGCGCAAAAATTAAATCGAAATCTGTAACAACATTACTGGAAGCCAAATGGGAAACTACACCATTGGTATTAGAAGTAGCTGAGTATTTAATGGAGGAAAACGCCGACTTTTATTGGCGCTTTATCGATTCAGTATCCAAATTAAATCCTCCTCTTAATGAAATCAGTAAGTAAGCCATTAATTTCTCTTTAACATTGCCATCTGCAATGTTAAAAGTTATTTTCAGAAAGTGACTTGCAGAGATACAACAAGATAATTGAGCAAGCATCACACCTAGTAACCACTTCTCAACTGTCAGTTTTAAAGTTGGGATTATCATTGCACATATATTCCCCAAAGGTTCAAATGTATAACCAAGTTACTGCAGAGAAAAATTTGCCTGATTGCTCCTGCGTTGTTGACATTGGGGGTACCTTCACTTGTAATCTACAAGAAATAAATAAACTAATTAATAATGTATGTATGTAAGCCTGTGGAACAAGGGGTTAACCACTATAGTAAAAATTGTGACAGTATTGAGGAAATCAGTGATTTACACTCGATTTCGTGGCTCATTACACAACTACTAATTTGCGATTGGTGCCAGTATTGTGCTAAGTGGTTAACCCCTCATACCCCACGTTCCAATGATATATTTTCATCAAACATTTTTAGCCGAGAAAGGAAATAAGAAATGCTGAATTATTTAGAATTGATAATCACTATCCCGGGTCTGCAAATCATTCATTAGTCGCAATTCTGTATGGAGAATTGGGTACTAAGTGTTTCTCAAACTTTCATGCAGTGTTGAAACAAAATGCTGTCATAGGAAATGTTGATTATGTTATTCGTTATTACATTAAGGTACATGATAAACCTAACCTTTGCATATTGTCTGAAAACCCTGTTAATGGTAATCTATTTTTAAGGAAAAAAGTGGTAAAAAACTAAGATTGTCTGGTTATGGGGTAGAACTTCAAATGAAATCTACAGAGTACAAGTCCCAAGATGACACCGAACTTAAAGAAGAGAAGGATTCTGAAGAATCATCCCAAGACGATGAAGATACAGAGATTGAAGGATTTGATTTTGCAAAATTAAAGTACGAAATTTATTTTCTTACAGATTTGGGTGATTAATACATTTTTCAGAAAACTGTTCCCAGATCAGAAAAGAGATCTTGAAAAATTCAAACAGCACCTTGAAGATTCTTCTAATGAACTAGCTGCTCTGAAAGTGTGGCAGTTTCAAGAGTTAAGTCTGCAAGCAGCTGAACGTATTATGAATGCACCAAAAGATGAGGCTCTGAAAGTTTTCACCAACATAGCACAGAATTTTCCAATGCAGGTCATGTTAATAATTCCTCCTTTTCAGTCACTTTCAATTATTGATACACAATAGTCTCTTTCGAGGATATTTTTGCTATTTGTAGAGTGGAATAGAATAAAAATTATCAGTATTATAACGTAATTACATAACTGAAGTTACATCAGAGAATATCAATCTCATCTTTAAACTGACGACACTATACTTTAATTTCTCTAAAAGGGTAGTAATATAATATGTTTATCCTTTCAGGCTAAAGGCTTAGTTAAAACTGTAGTGAATTCAAACCTTAAAAAAGAAATGAAAATGAATTCTGACATGTTTGCTTCTACTCTGAATTTGCAACCATCCGATACTGCTCTTTTTATCAATGGGATGTTTTATGACTTAGATGTTGTAGATATTTATACAATTTTGGATGTCTTACGGCAGGAATTAAGAACTATGGAAGGTAAAGTAGTAAAACATGATATCTATATTTAAAAACAAATTATAATCTAGTTTTAAAAATTGGTCATTTCAGGCTTACATTCAATAGGCATCTCCAAAAACAAGATGTCATCTTTGCTGGCGCTAGATTTCAGTGAGGGCGGTAGTTCGCAAGATTTTGCCCTAGACATAAGAGATTCATCTATCAGCTGGTTGAATGACATTGAAACCGATTCAAAATACAGATACTGGTCTTCCAGCTTAATGGAGTTGCTAAGGCCCGCATTTCCCGGCATGATACGGCAAATAAAAAAAAATCTATACAATTTAGTAAGCGCTGACAATCTATTTATTCATTATTTTTTGTTTTTACAGTTTTATGTAACACAGAAACCACGGTCACTATTTCAAAATTCAAATTGTTCTCAAACACGTATCAGCCACCCTGTTTAAATAGCGAAACATAGAAAGTACTATGAGGTGGTTACTAATTATTCAAATTATTCAAATAAATGGATATTCATTTCATAAGTCATTAAGAAAAGTATTATGCTTACAAATAATATCTGTTTTATTAATATTAATAATGATGAAAGCTTAAAATTAATAATAATGCAACAGAATTATGAAAAGATATATTTATGTAAATAAGTACTTACTTCAGAAAGATATAGTCTTTTTCATTTTTTTTTTTCATTCCCTCTAGGTTCTGATTATTGACCCGACTGATGTTGCAACCCGACCTATTCTAAAACTGGTGGAGTCTTTTGTTATACATGTGGCACCCATAAGGGTCGGATTAGTATTCAAAGTGAGTTCGTCCAAAGTGCTGACCGGTTTGGATGATGCCGGAATCGCATTGGTATGCGCGTTTAACTATATTACGCAAATAAAAGATGGCGCCACCGCATTGACGTTCCTGCGTACTACTATGGGAAGCGCAGAGGGGGAAAAAGTTTGTTCCTTTTATTTTTGTTATTTAATTTATTTTAATTTCATACTTTTGTTTTAGGTAACCGTCGAAGATGTTAAGCGAGAGTTAAAACAACAATTCGGCGCTTATCCAGAGGAAATATTGGGTGAAGACTCAGACTACGACTTTGGGCGGCAGCTCTCTGAAGATTTTATATCGAGAACAGGTCTCTTGAAATTTCCTCAGGCTTTGCTCAATGGAATTCCTTTACCGGAAAATAAGGTGATTCTAGATTTTTATTTTAATAGCAGCCGAAACTTATTTATTTATTTATTGACAGCTCTGTTAACCTAAATATAAACTTATGAACAAATCAACTTTTTGCATTGACAGGGGGATTTGCAGTTGATGATGCTACATTAATTCTATCATATTCCATTTTATTTTACTTCTTATTATTTGTAGTATGACATCTTTTTAGGCAATAAAGAATTATAAAATTTAAAAAAAATCATAACTAGGTATTTATCTTACTCTACAGTGACTAGTTTGAAACTTTTTTTTTTGAACTTATAGTAACTCTTAGATCTAATATAGATCTAGATCTAGATCTAATAAATCATGGGTCCCACCACATACACACAAGTGGAATCCCGAATTATTTTACATCATACATGGTATAGCTTAATAGCTTAAACCATACATAATAAATTTACAGGGTGATCCGAATTATAATGGAGAGACTTTTTTTTTAATTTTTAAAAAACGTTTCTAGACATTGCTTTGCAACTTAGTGGATGTTATTGTTACCTAAAAACAAATTTATAGCATAGATAAACTAGTTTTTAACCAGCGGCTTTTAAAGGAGCTCTTTAATGAATTAAAATAATAAAAAACTGTTACGCCAATGATTTGATGCATTTAGTTACTATGATCAATTCTAAGCAAAAATTGTCTCTTCCATATTTTTTTTAATGAAGATAATAATAATAATAATAATAGTAATAATAATAATAATGATAATAATAATAAAAAAATCTCTATTGCAATTAACTACAAAAGGAAAAGTTGAGGTAGAGTCTCCTAACTTAACCTACCTACTTCCTTCAGGTAGCAACCAATCAGATTGTCACTAACGAAAAACCGCCATTACAGTGACCACACAATCATAATTAATATTTAATTTAGTTGATTAATAATTACACAGAATCACAGAAAACGGAAGATGTGAAAAAGGGGAAATATCAAACAGGACGGCGGAGCAAGCATAATTGGTTTGATAGCTTTCTTAAATCTGTCATCTGGTAATTGTCTATTATTATGTGGGACATTGTTATGGAATTTTTATAATATAATAATAATAATAATACAATTTAGCTATAACAAATGAAAACAAACGTTTAAAATAAACAGGCATGTTTAGGTGTGGTTGTTATCAATTTTATTAATTTAATTGATAATAATACCTACCAAATTTGATCGCAAAATCTAGTAGATATTTAAAAAAAAAAGGAAAAAATGATTTTCAATATTTCAACATCTTGAACCTCCGAAATGAAGAACTTTAGGACATAAGTTTATGGGAAATACTGAATATGCTGCTAAAGTTTCTCCATTGGAAGTAAGGTGATTTTTAAGATACTTGTGCCAACTTTTTTTCCGATCCTCGAACCACTTCTGGTATAGCCTTGAGTTCTTCTAGCGATTTTTTCTTTATCTCTTCAATCGTTCCAAACCTCCTTCCTTTCATTTGTTTAGTTTTGTGAACAGGAAAAAGTCGCAGGGGGCCATATCCGGTGAATATGGTGGCTGAGGCATGATTGTGGTTTTGTTTTTGGGCAAAACGTTGGACCCAAGCGACGATGAGTGAGCAGGTGCATTATCGTGATGTAAAATCCGTGAACTGTTTTCCCACAATTACGGGCGTTTTCTTCCTATTGCTTCTCGCAAACGGCGCATAACTTCAAGCTAATGCTCTTTATTGACCGTACGACCTAGTGGTAGCAACTCTTGATATACTAAGCTACGATAATCAAAGAAAACACTAAGCAAAACCTTGAAATTTGACAAAAAAAAATAAACGTGCTGAGAATGTGAACATATTTTAGGAACAGGTATATGAACATAACAAAAAAAATATCGCAGATCGAACGTATGCAGCCCGCCCAATTACAAAAGTCACCTTGCTTTTTAAACACACCTCGTATGTTGAAAGGCAGTGTAGAAAGCACAGTGCCCCCTGCCAACTTCAACCTCAATGTATGGACTAAACTGTTTCCTCTGTAGATATGACTTGGTTAAAATATTAGCCATTTCTGTCACTCCTACGTTTTCTAAATTTCAGCCATACCAAAAAAATGCTTTCTTGTGTCTGTCTAAATTCTTGCATTTTTCTAAGATGTCCTTATATATTTATAGGTTAACTTGGATGATTTTGAAGAAACCGTACTCCAAGAGATCATGTCACAGACTACCACGTATCAAAAGGCGGTATACCGCGGAAAACTTTCAGACAGTGATAACATCCTCGATTACATAATGAACCAGCCAAATGTAATGCCGAGGTTGAACGATCGGATTTTGAACAGAGGCAGATCTTTCTATTTGGACATGTTGGGCAAGGCGACCAGCCTTAGCAACTTGGACGCCCTTCTAAAACTCAGCGTCCCCGATATGACCGCCACCGCGATCGAAAATTTAAAGTAAATCGTTCGAACGGGACGTGATCGCGAAAAAATTGTTTTTTGTGTCCACAGATACTTCTCGATTCCCAAGAAAGGCAAACAACACCATTCTATTACATATTGGGTAGTTTGCGATCTGAATCAAGTGAAAGGTAGGCAGTTGCTTCGGGAAGCGTTGGAGCACTTGGTAAGTTAGAATCCCGTCAAAAAACGGTCGTTGAAGTTTAGTAATGTTTAGAAATCGGAGAGCGACGTCAGGGTTAGCTTCATTCCCAACGTGGAGGGGGGCAAGAAAAATACTCTAAACAAGGTTATATTGGCGGCACTGCAGGAGCTATCGTCGCAGAGTGCCCTCAGTTTGGCTTTGTCGCTTTTAAAAGATGATAACGTTTCCGAACAACTCGATAGGGGTGATCGCGGGATCGTTCCGGTAAGTACCGGGTTTCTTTACGAAATTTCGGTAATAATTAACGTTCGCGGTGATCTTTTTCTTTCAGTGCCATCTTCTAACTGAAGTTGGCTACCACTTTTCTAAATGCCTCTTCGTCTATTGCATCATAAAACAGATTTCCTACAGTCATCTGAGTCCCGTCTCTGATGTTTCTTAGCTAGAATTTCTTCTTTCTTCCTATGCCTTTTCTTCCATCCACTCGTCCCCGCATAATGGTCTGTAGTAATTCGTTAATTTTTCAAAGAAACTTCCAAAAGCTACTGTAATACTATTTACGAAACTTCTGGATACCTCCTGCTTCGTAGGTTCTTGTTGAGTCGAACTTGCTAACGTTTAACCAATCATCCTGTTGGTTTCTTCACAACTACTCCATACAGTAGTTGTATCCACGCGTAGCACTCCCTAAACTTTAATCTTAGTTTAAGGCTTTTGTCGCTTAAGAAATTCAATTCTGATTCTTATTTCGTGATCTTCTAGGTCTGAAGTTATGTAAGGTTCTAGATATTTATATTTTTCCATACGCTCTACGGGTTTTCCTTGTATCATCAGCTAACCTGGATTGATTGGGTTTTTCGAGACAATCATGAATTTGAGTCCCATTTTAATGCTTTCATTATTGACCCTGTTCACCAGTAATGGTAGGTCTTCCAGAGATTCGGCCATGATTGCTGTATCGTCTGCGAAGTGTATATTATTAATTATCTCACCTCCAATCTTAACAACTTCTTTTTCGAAAAAGTCCGGATAAAATATTTTCTGTGAATATAAATAGAAGAGTGAAGGTGAAAGTAGGCACCCCTGCCTATCACCTCGCTGAATATTCAACCCTTCTGTTTCCATTTCGTTTATTTTCAATGTGTCTGTTTTCGGAAAAAAAAGGTTTTTTTTTCTTCTGAGTAGGGTGTGCCGTTTATTAGCAAAAAACTGGAAATGCCTACCATTTTCGGAGTAAATTTATGGCGGTAACTGATCAAACGTGGTTTTAATGTCCTTTATTAGGCCGCATCCAGAGATAAGTTTTTTGTATTTGCCCTTTTTTATCTATCGTTTAGGGTGTGGGATATACGGATTTGGAATTGTTACATCGTCACTCAACTAAGATAACGGAGGAGCCAATTTTGGTCTAACCAGTGCGTAGACAGTAACCAGGGCTAAAATTTTTTGAATTTACCTTTTTCGCATCATATTTTACCAGAACCATCAAATTGAAGCGATAATACCGCAGCAAATAAGTCGACTTACTAGGAAATAAATATCCCTATTTTTGTACAAAATATCTATTAGTTGCGATTTTTATTTGGTTTATATTTCAGACCTTTATGAAGTTATTCGTAATTACTTGGTGTCTTGTAACCTTTTTGCTTAAATTAAAATTGTCCCATAGTTTCTCATTACAATATTCGAGATGCTCCTAAACTAAAATACTATTTGCCTTTGAATTTTAAATTTAAAAACTGTCTCGTACGAAACATCCATAAAAGTGTGTGCTTCTTTTGCCAGATTGATAACGGACATAAAAATAAAATGAAAAATGAAAGCACTAATAAAATGGAAGGTTTTAGTAAAAGTGTTGCTAATGGCCGACGGCTGCATCAGGACTGATAAACTGATCACCTTAGTTTAACATATGTTTCAAACAACTAGTTTACTGGAATAAGAGTTCAGTCAAAGTTTTGTTTCAGAATAAAATAATTACACCAAACTTCTTGCGCGTATTGTTTGGTAAATTTAAAGCAAGTAAAATAAAATATTTTCTGAAGTCAACTTACATGTTTTTTAGTTTTGTAAAAAATACTATTTTTGCAATTGCGATTATTTACATTTTTTAACAAATAAATTAAACACTTTTTTATTTTGAACTGTACTTTGTTTAAGATTTGGTCTGAATTCAATCCAATCCGTTTCACTTCCAACAATGAAATTAATATTAAAAAAAAACAATAAAATTTATTTAATAATTAATCTTAATTTCTGTAAAATCGGTTTTTTCGTCTTCCTTTTTTTTTTTAAGTAGTACTGGTAGAAATAGCCTCTATGTATACCATGCTCGGTTCTGGGGAACCAACGAAGGAGACTTTTTAAAACTTGGTTTATGGCGCTAAGAGGTTATTATAATTTACATTTGATACATATTTTCAGAAATTCGTAAAATTTTCAATAATTTTTGTTTACATATTATTTATCTATAACCATCTTCCATCTATTTTCCATCGTTTTCGTTAAGAACAATATTTTCCAGAAACGGTTAAAAAGACATTTAAAGGGCAAATCACACATCTTGTGACGGATTTCGTGATATTGGCGTTAGACTCCGTTAGAGGTTAATAGAAAAATAAAAATTAATACTAAATACGATCTAAACAACTTGGACTTGGAACTTGAACTTTCGTGAATTCAACTTGTTTCTCTCGCTACATTAGCTCAATTCTACGAGAGATGTTTTCAAACTTCAAATTGTTATGATATTGTTAAAAATAATAACCTCTCAATGCAAGGAGAATACAGTAAACATTATCTTTCGACCAGACGGAACTGCACGGACCTTAAGTAACGGCCCTCTTCAGGTTTATTGACTTTTGGTCTCAGGATAGTTATTATTCGTTGCCATTCTTCACAATAATGAAGTAACAGCTCTTGAAGCTGACAAGTATCAGACGTATTGAGTTTCTGATCTGATACCCACAGCATTGCCACCCAATTCGCCTTGCTGACGCCAAAACATTTTCTTTCCCTATACAGTACTTTCTTACACCGTCTTTCCGCAAAGTATTGCTGCATTATAAAAACAGTGTTATGAAAAGGCGTCATAACATTGCCTATAGGTTCTATATAATTTCGTTAGGGTACAATTCCTATCTCCTTTGGAAGATTTTTGCGAACATGAATCCGTTTTTCTAACTTTTTGAGTTTTGTCCCAAATTTTAGATTGAAGTTTGGTCTAAAGTGGACGCCCAGGAACTCAATATAAAAATGCTCCGAGTTTATTGCCAAAAGGTTTTGGGTTTGAAAAACGCGGAAAGGGCAATTGTAGCTAACGGTCGGGTATTGGGACCGTTTGAAGAGACGGAAAATTTTGCCGGTGAAGATTTTTCGCTGTTGGAAAGATTTAGCGGCGCTTCCTATTTAGATAAAGTCAGCAAGGCCCTCGGTGTAGACGACGATGAGGACGACGAAGAAGGTACGACCATGAACTCCCATAAATTGCTGTTTACCGGAAAGTTTGATTTTTAGTCGTAACAAGTGACACTTTGCTGAAGATAGAGTCACTTTTACTGTCCAAGTCGGAATCGAAGCCTCGTTTCGAAATTACGTTTGGTGGCGATGAATATTCTGTCATAAAACTGCCGCCATCTCGACCTGACGAGGTAGCATTTGATCTGGTTGCAGTTGTCGACCCGGTTTCGAGGGGAGCCCAAAAATTGGGCCCCATCCTCCAGGTCCTCCAAGAAGTGCTTAACTGCAATATCAGGGTGTTTCTAAATAGTGTTGAAAAGAACAGCGATATGCCTGTGAAGAGGTAATTATTGTAAAATCTCTTCAAAGTTGGATAACGATTTTTTTTCGTAGTTTTTATCGCTTCATTTTGGAACCTGAGATACATTTCTCTGATGATGGGAAACAGATTGCCGGACCAATCGCGCGGTTCACCAATATGCCAACCTCGCCATTACTAACACAAAATTACCATGTTCCTGAAAATTGGTTAGTGGAAGTTGTCAGATCCGTCTACGACTTGGACAACATACGATTAGAAGATGTCGAAAGTAACGTGCATAGCGAATATGAGCTCGAACATCTGCTAGTGGAGGGCCATTGCTTTGAGCAGAATTCCGGCAGCCCTCCTAGAGGTCTCCAGATCACACTCGGTACCGAGAACAAACCAGTCATTGTCGACACCATCGTCATGGCAAATCTGGGCTATTTTCAACTTAAAGCCAACCCTGGGGCGTGGCTGCTCCGATTGCGACAGGGTAGAAGCGTTGACATATACGATATAGTGAGGTTTGTCCCTTTGATCTTGTTTTTGACATTTAAATTTTTTTTTGGAAAAATATTTTAGCCATGATGGAACGGACACTCCAAATAATTCCACTGATATCAAAGTGTTAATAAATTCGTTGAGGTCCCATATAGTGAAGCTGAGAGTTCAGAAGAAACCCGATAAATATAACATGGACTTGCTGTCCGACGAAGAACCAAATGGTGGTGGTATATGGAATTCTATTACCAGGTAACGCGTTTTGGTGTTGAGTTTGTGGGTGTTGCAATGTGCATAAAATGTTATAGCTCGTTCGGCGGGAAAGATGAAGAGCACGAAGAAAAATTGAACATCTTTTCGGTTGCTTCGGGCCACCTTTACGAACGATTCCTGCGCATCATGATGTTGTCCGTCCTGAAACACACCAAAACTCCGGTTAAGTTTTGGTTTTTGAAAAATTATCTGTCGCCGCAAATAAAGGTAGCGTAGAAATTCTATTTTCTATTATGTCCTAAAGAATAGTGCGGAGAAAAATGTTTAGCCCACATGCGTAGTAGCCAAGAATTCGCAACATGCTAACATACTAACTATTTACAAACTACTACTAATAATTTATATAATGCCCCTATTTATATCCGGTTTATCTTTTTGACTGACTCCTAGCGCGTGCGGCACTGCTTTTATAGAAAGCCGCGCCACATGTTTTTGAAAGTTGTTAGGAACAGAGCCATTAAAAAAAAATCCCATTGGAATCTCTTTGAATGTTTTGTATAGTAAGCAGATTTGCTTTCGAAGAATTTTAAATTTTTTGACATATTACCTAATGTATTGTAATCGAAGCTAGACGAGACTTATCCAACTAGCTAAAATTTGTTGTTCTGTGGTTTTCGCAGTTTACTAATTCCTTTACGAAGTTCTATGTTTTTATTCCTCATTCCAGGACTTTTTACCATATATGGCTAAAGAATATGGCTTTGAATATGAATTGGTACAATATAAATGGCCCAGATGGCTCCACCAGCAGACCGAGAAGCAAAGAATCATCTGGGGCTACAAGATTTTATTCTTGGATGTGCTCTTTCCGCTCGACGTGAAGAAAATTATTTTTGTCGACGCTGATCAGGTGGTGAGGACGGATTTGAAGGAGCTAAGAGATTTGGACTTGGGCGGGGCACCATACGGCTACACCCCATTCTGCGATTCTCGTAAGGAAATGGACGGGTTTAGATTTTGGAAGCAAGGCTATTGGAGGAACCATCTGCAAGGTATTCTGGTCTTTTCTGCGATATTTTAACTGACTAAAGCGCTTCGTACGTTAAGGACGACGATATCACATTTCCGCTTTGTATGTGGTCGATTTAAAGAGATTCAGGCGTATCGCCGCCGGGGATCGTCTCCGAGGCCAGTATCAAGCCCTAAGTCAGGACCCGAACAGTTTATCCAACTTGGATCAGGATTTGCCTAACAACATGATCCACCAAGTTACCATAAAGTCATTGCCCCAGGAATGGTTGTGGTGCGAGACTTGGTGTGATGATTCTTCAAAGGAGAGGGCGAAAACAATAGATTTGGTATGTGAAAAGTTTATTTGAATTTCGAATATTATGTATTTAATTACTTTTTTATAGTGTAATAATCCCTTAACAAAAGAAGCCAAACTATCGGCAGCCATGAGGATCCTGCCCGAGTGGAAAGACTATGACAACGAAATCAGAACGTTGCAGAAAAAAATAGATTCCGGGTTGTTAGATGATGATTCGGGTGATGAGGAGGGGGCTCGTGGTGCCATCAGTAAAGGTATCGTTTTCCTTTTTTTAATTCATAAAAATGAAATTTTGTTTAGCACGGCTCGGGGTACGGATTTTGGGCTAAAATATTCACGCCAATTTCTTCAAACTGACTCAAATGGTCGTAGACTTTAAACACATTATCCGGTAGATGATGGAAAATGTTATGTGTACTAAATTTTAGCTAAAAAAAAATACTAGAAGAAAAATAACGCAAAATATTTTATAAAAATTTACTACTTTTGAGTGAGAAAAATAAAACATGATGAAAAAATTCAAACCAAATATATATATGCATTATAGCATGAAAACTGTTTAATGAAAATCAGAATTCTTGATAATTTAATAAGGGACTTTAGGTTATGTTTATTTTTTTTTTTTTTTCATATTTTCAGATTCCTTGGACAAACACACGGAACTATGATTAAAAATTTTCTTTGTAAATTGAATTTTGTACATAAGGTAAAATTTGTTAAAAGGCGGTTATTGTGATCTGTGTCTAAGTTGTCTAGTACCATTTTTTAAAACTGTGTTATTCTAGGAATAATAAAGGATCGAAGTTTTGTATTGTTTTTAATTTCGGTTTTAACCTCAATTTCTTAATGTGGGAAGGGAAATTGATTTATGCATCATTAATTGTACATTAATTACACAAATAAATTAAAGCCAACGTGCCACAGTCTAAGTAAGTAAGTATATCATAGGGTTTCTAAATATTCCTATTGTTAATTTCAGTACATTCGGTTACATAATTTATTTTCTAAGTAGAAACTAGGGTTTACAAATTGTCTTTAGTATTAAGGCCTAATACAAAAATCAATATTGCTGTCCTGAGTGAAATGATAAAATTTATTGTTCCTTTCATAAAGGAAATTGAAAAATGTAACAAAAATTATAATTGTTATAGACATTCGTGCACCTGGGTCATTGTTCGGCAAATTTTGCATTTTACATAACAACAATCAAAAAATTTGCAGAGACACCTTTCTATTTTTTCCTCCACCACCGTTCGGTATCCTCGACCGCAGCAAAGTTGCCTGCAACTGTCCAGACCTGACGATGAGACATTGCAGTGCCTAAAAATTAGTTTCAGTTTTCAGTTTTTACGTACAGGGAGTCCCATATAATAAGATCCTGATCTTTTATATATAATTTTGTCTCCTTCGAATTAACATACAAGGTGTGCTATTTAAATTTGAAAAAAGTTGACTGTTTATTATACACTAAGCAACCCGTAAACGTATAAATTATATCTAATATATGATATAATATATATGTAACAAAATAATATTTTGTATTTATAATGTTGCTTTTCCATTATTCAGAAGGAAGAGTGTCCAAAAACAATTTTTTTTACCTCAATATTACTCTACACATTTTATACACTGCTCTTAAGCAGCAAAATCCATTTTTTGATGCGAAATAATATCCTACGCGAAGTTTCCAGTAACTGTACCCGATTTGCATGCAATATTTTCGAAGAAAAAAAAGGTGCGCCACTGTTTTTTCCTAAAATAAAACTTGTTCAAATTCTCAACTAATTTGGAATAAATTTGATGTCTTATTTTTTTTTCCCGTAAATCGTGTATCTAAAAACATTTGCTTTTTTACCAATGACACTAGCTACCTATTAACTTGTACAGAAATATGAATAGGACAATAGTTTGTGAAACGTTTGGCGAGTTTGTGTGGAGTTTGACACAAACTTCATAAAAATTATTTGAAACATGTTCATCATAATTCTGCCGATTTTCGTGTCCATCAAAGAGTTTTTTTAACTTGAAAGCCCTGCCAAATCAAGAGATCAATTTGTTCCAAATTAGTGCATATTTTTTTCTAAAAAAATATTGCAAGTATCTGGTATTACACACGTTGGTTTTTCTATATTAAAAATATTTCCCATCAAAAAATGCATTTTGCCGCTTGTAGTCAGTATATCCAATGTCAATAAAATAATTAGAGTGGTTTTAATACTATGATGCCAAAACAGTTTGGTTTCTTAGAATTTCAACACCATCTATCTGGGAAAGGAAGCTTATATGTTTATATCGGCAATTAGGGCTAATTTTCCACCAAAATTTGGTTAATTAATTTGATAATACCCTGTATACATGCCGCTCTTGACAAGTCCGCGTAGATGTACTTCTGCGGCGCGTTAATGAATTTTTGACCAGTCCCGGTACATAATAGCTCCTTTGTCATTAAGAATTTTTTTCGCACCGCCGTCCGATAATGACGTCTTCTACACGGAGCAAATGTGGTGTTTAAAAAAGTGGTTGGTTTTAAAAAGATTTACGACCTTTAATTACAGATAACAAGGCCGCCGATGGATTTTACGTGAGCTAGGCACCGACTTTAAAATTCCTCCGCAGTGGGTCCCGATACCATTCTTCAGAAATTATCGCGACAAATTACCTTCCATCGCATCGAACATTATACCAAATTTCTTGGCAGCCGAATAAAAAGATTTGTTTGTATTTATACAGGGTGTTTCCCTTGAAAAAATTTAATTAAATAATTAGCATCTTAAGTTGCTACTTAATTTAGAGAGAAGCCTAATTTTTTAATTTAAAAAAAAGGAGGCAATTTTTCAAATGGCTTTAATTTTATCAATCACTTCGTATTTCCAGTGTTGCTAGTTTTCATTAGTTTTTAATCTAGGTAAATTGTTGTTAATTAATAACTTCGATTTTCAATTTGTCAAAAATAAAAATTTCCTACCAAAAAGACAATTTTGAGGGTCGGTTCCGAAGGATCTTTAAATTCCATATCTTCACTATTTTCAGCACAATGCGTAACTAGATATTGGACCTTTAAATCGATCTGTTATGTTTTACTCACCGTCCAACTGTGCCCAAACTTCCCAGCTTCTCGTCTCTAGTGCAATAATCCGGTGATTTCGAAATATATACCAACTGATCCGATGCTACGTATTTTCGCAGTTTTTTTCCTCGATTCTCTAGATAGGCCCTGGCCAATTCTTTGGCAACCGTGAACTTCTGCAGTAATTTCTGACCTATCTCGGCCATGGTGGGTATGCCTTTCCAGCAGGTTTTCACGTTGCAAGAGCCAGATACCCCATGACATTTACACTGGATACGAAGGTTTGTCGATATTAACTGGAAACCAAATTTTTGCTGTAAAGCTTTAGCAGTGCGTTTGCAGTGGCGTAAGAAAAAATTAGTTATGATTTACGTTGGTCCAGTTCAAATTGGTTAATGAGTAAAACGTGTATTCTGTGATTCATGTTACCTTCTGTGTTTTTGTTAAAAACTCGGTTATGTTCTGTATTCAGAAATGCTAGTAAGAATAGTTTGGAGTTTTGGTTCTTTAGATCTCATTTCCCTCTAAGTTGTAACAGGTTCTTTGATATCAGAAATTGTTTGAACTTGAACTTCAAATGAAATTATATTTTGGCAAATACAGCGTTGCCAGATCTGACGAAATATCAATAATAACATTTAAATTTTAAAACGATCAAATAAATGTCAGCAACTATATGGTTTTATCAATTTGCTTGTTCAAAGATTCTTCATTTTTGGACAGAATGGGTTTTTAGCAACAAATATCACTTTCAACTTAGCTTAGTGGACCACACCTACTTTTCTGCCGACCCTATTGTTATGGAGATTAATAGCGGCAGCTTGATTTGTCAGCCCCCATACTTCATCAACTGCTTCTCTGCCCCTTCTTTTTCTGTCGACCCTCTCCAACGCATGCTTCTCGACGCTGTCGATGAACCTTTTCGCAAACTGGGCCGCCCATCTGGAATAACACGAAATATGGCATTATGACGCGGGTCCGTACGATTACCGTATACCTGATATTATCCCCACACCCGCCCCACTGGAAATTAATGGCTGGCGTGGAACTGGGTTTGGAGGCGCACGTGCACCGATGCAAACTCCCGCTGGAACAAGCCCTGGCCACGGCGAAAGTCAAAGCCGCTGAGCTAATCGCGTAAACGTAGGCCTGCTCTCTGGTTGCTGAAAATGGTATATCTTTTAAAAGTGTCGACAACTATTCACCAGAGACAGAAACAGATAATATAGCTGGCTACTCTCAAAGCTAAAAAACAGTAACATCTTTAATTTGAATAATTAATATATCAACAAAATTTTTATAATACAATTGTTTTAATCATTTTGTGTTTTAAAATCGCTTTATTTTGACACATTTTTAAAAGCAACCGTTTTAGAGAAAAGAGTAAGCTTGATAAACGCTCCTTCAATCACTAATTTATTTTTGTACTGGTGCACGCTGGAAAACCTTTCTCATTAGTACCTCGAAATTATAAAATCCAAATATTCAAATATTTCCTAAAATTTTGTATTGCTTAGAATTATTACCCCATTAAATGTAAACTTGTCAACTAATAGCAATCGCCATCTCGTTAAAGTTTTACGCTCAAATGGAGTATAAGTTTAGTATAAGTTTTTTTTTTAAATGTAGTAATGCGTTTTGATGATTATTTTACAGAGAGAAATACTTTTTTTTTATCTCAGGCCAATATTTTACAAAATAATAGCTTGCTACTACGATGTTTAAGACATTTCTTGTGAACTAATAAACAATCGCTATATCATTAAATTTTCTTGTTCAAATGGAGTGATGTTTCGCGATTATTATTTTAGAGATAAATAATATTTTTGTGTTTAAAGGGAATATTTCACAAAACAATACATTATTAATGTGTTTAGTACATTATCCTGCAGGAAATTATATCCTATATGAAGTGACCGAAATATGCCTTAGATAAGTGTCGCTCATTAGAAAGGTATGCAGCGTTAAAATTTGGTTCTCGAAATTGTAACTTCTTCATGGCTCAAACTGTTTTTTAATTATTGGACATGAAAACCGAACGTCATTTTTTAATATTATTTCTTCACATAAGACAAACAGGACGCTAGTTATACTCACTGTACTGACAAACACAAAAATCTACCGAAAACATCTGAGTGTTCTGAAACCCGTGACCGAAGTAGTTGGCGACATCAATGGTTAACGTACTCTGCATCTCTTAAAGTGAAACTTTTAAGAAAATTTACTCAATCCTATTATCAAAATAAAAATAATATTAATAGGGTTGAAATGGCAAGAAATACTTTTTACTTAAAGTTTAAGGTGGAACGGTTTAGCTTTTTTGTATAATATTCAATAGAATATTCATAATAATAATCATATAGTAATAATAATAATATTAAAAGATTTTAAATGACAAGAAATACTTTTTACTTGACCTCGTATACTTATTCTAAGTAAAAAGTTTAAGGTGGAACGGTTTAGCTTTTTTATATAATATCCAATAGAATATACAGAATAGTAATCATATACTAATAATAATAATAATCGTAATAATAATATAAATTACAAGACAGTATAATACTTACTTAAGAATATCTTCCAGCGATCATTCATTCATTTAAATAATTATAATGTAAAGACAAAATTATTTTATGCTGTTTGAATTTGATATCTTTGAAGGTACCGTAAAAATAAATAAAAATCGATAATTATCATTTTAAAAATGTTCTAAAACTGATACGCCCTGTATATAAAACTCCATGGGAACGCAAGAAAGGAAACAAAGTTTACATCAAACAAAAGAACCCCACAAAAACGGGACCCGAAAGAGTTGTATTTCGGGTCACGTTCTGTGGGGTTAATTTTCCAAATGAGAAGGGACCGTTATCAATCGTTGGGGGGTAAGAAAATGCAGCAGTTTCATCAAGCTGAGCGCTGAAATACGCCAGCCTTTTGGTTTCGCTTGACTTTCGAACAACCGACACCGTGTTTGGAATTTAAAAATTGCGATCAAGAAAAAAACGCAGGACGGGAATAACACATAATACATAATGTTGTTAATTTTGCCCACGATAATACCATAAGTAGAAGTAAAAGTTGGTTCGCCATTTATAAAGAGTAGGAAATAGGAAATTAAGATCTAAAGCCGTATAGAACACAACCATATAGTTACTAAGATATTATATTGTAATATGAATAAAAACAAAGTACTACAAGTATCAGTATCTTCTACGTAGTATTTACTCGGAAAAATAGTATTTACTATGTTCCGGATAGTATCTGCTTACTTGCCATTAAACCTGCTTTACTGCAAAGCAGATACATCATATTATTAAGTGTCTATTTTTACAATTATTATGTCCTCCTCAACAGTCCTTTAAGATGAATGATGAATATGATAGAATGTTCCAAAATGAAGATCATGAAGAGCTGGTATTTACAATACTTAATAATTAATTAGAATTAATTATTAAGACACCTCCGAAATAATCAGCAAAATATGCGGCCCTAAGATAATTGAACCGGAAACCAGAAAAGGAAAAAATTTATAAGTCATGGACTGAACATCCAATTATTCAAAAAGTTCGGTACCTATAATGGGGAAACGGCTAATTCAAAGTCAACAGTTTTTGCCTATGCTATTTTTGTTAAATGTAAAGAAGAAGAGACAATCGATAAAGTAACAAATCTGAGACAATTGTTGGATGAAAAAAAAGTTAATATCACTTTATCAGAAAAACTGCAGAAAAAATTGTTTTTAAATCAAATTAAAGGTACTTCAGCTCAAAATAAAACTGAAGTGAAGAAAGAAGGAAATGCTGCGCAAGCTATAGAGAAAAAGGAAATTATTTTCTGAGAAAACATTCGGGTACTGTTTATTCACCAGAAAGGTGTTTGTGTTTGTTTTTCGTTAGAGGTATAATAAGGTATTTATATTAGATAATCGATGAAGAAAAATTGTAAGGTATTAATAAAAAACGAACAAATAAATGTGTTTAATTTTAGCTGTATTGCTTCCAGGAAACACTTCCTTACCTCACGTTCTTATATGCACTACCTCTACTTTCGCTCGATTCATTTAGAAATTTATTGAATAGGAAAGTTACATGTTCCCTACTAATACTTGATTAAATAATATGTCAAAGATACTTGTAGTAGTAGCAGGTATTTTGCTTATAGTCATACCACAAATAGATACCATGCCTGTGCGGGAAGAGTACAACAAAAAATGTTGAGAAGAGATATCCAATATCCCAGAGCCACTTCGAGTATGGCGTTTTTCAAACAGTATTTTGCCAACAATGCTTAAATTTGAATTTTTTATTCAAATTTTGGCTTACCACTTTTCTCTTTTGTATTTTATGATGACTTCTTAACTTTAATTATACCTCTGGTCAAATCCGGAGTTAAATAGGGTGCGGTTGTTATGGACGAACAATTCCATCTTCTATCCTTGAAAACATCCCGACATGTCCTTGAGGCCAATAGGGCCGCGTTCTGTATGTACGGCATGATGTCCATCTGCGAGCGACAAAGCTTGGCTTGTATCTTTACTAATCCATACCTGTAGATAATTGGGATTTTCTGCTATGAAACGTTAATATCATATTCGAAGAGCGTTTACCTTCGTCTAGCTATTGTACACGGCGATTTGACCCCCGAACGCACGGCCCTGCCAGGATTGTTGCTATTCAGGGATGTCAAATTCCAATTCAAGTGGGAATGTTGGAGTGATCTTAAAAAAAAAGGACGATATCGAGGAGGTAGCAATATCGGACATAATACAGGGTGTACGACTATATGGGAAGTCTATCCGTGTGTTACGGGAAAAGTGGCAAAAAATTAAAAATTTCCGGCTTGTTTGTTTCTGATAGAACTTGCCTATTTTAGAAAAAACAATTTTAATTTTTAATTTACACTTACAAAATCGAAAAATAATATAAATATTATATACAGTGCTACCCATTTAATAATACACAGGCAATATTCTTAAAATATAGGTGACACATTAAGAAAAAATCGATAGCAATCTGTCTGGGTGTGCACCGAGTTTGGTTAAACTTCTAACAAACACCCGTATACCGTGTGTCCCAGTTAAGAACTGTACACCCCTGTAAAGTGTTTGTTTAAAAAGCATCTTGTGTACCGGGTGATCGTTTATAATGTTCCCATCCCCCCTTTAACTTTTTTATTTAACGTTTGTGAAAAAAAAGCCAAATACATGTTTATATATAAATATATGTTTGTATATACAGTGTGTTGTAGAAATTATCCACAGAAAAAAGTTTAGTGGAACAGCCTGTATATTATACGCTTAATAAAATCCCCATCTCTTGTACAATAGTTTTTGAGACATATGCGATTTAACATAAAAACAAAATTCAAAAATAAAATAATATTCTAGAATTTCTAATTTATACCTTAGGTGGCTGTGAAGTAGTTTGTCCACAAAAAACAAAATGTCAGTGACAGTTACAGATTTAGCAAAACTATGCTTTTTTGTAATATATAAAATGCCTTATTCGCAAAAAAAAGCGAATTTTGGAAACGTTTATTATACCAAATAAAAGGGCTGAATTGACTCTACAAGAACTACGTGCAAGTAAGCACGTAAATTCAATAGTTGTCGAAATATTGGTTAACTCAAACCCAATATGAAAAAAACATTCTATAACTTATAATTTAGGTAGGTATAATATAATATGTCGGTAATTAGTTTTACAAATGGAATTCTTCAACTGGTCCCCCATTTTATTCTTCATATACTCTTCATTTGGAATTTCAACTTCTCTTCTAATCAGGTTTTTTAGATTCGCTCTGAGGAAAATTTAGATAACAATTACCTGAAATTGAACTAAGATGGCTTTTACTTGATGAAAATCCATTTAAAAAACAATGAATCGAAATGTTCAAAATCCCAAAAATCAGGTGTCTACAGGTTGAAATGCGGATCTTGTCCTAAAATTTCTATTGGACAAACAGGTAGATCCTTCAAGAAACGCATTAACGAACATAAAAGAGCGTTTAAAAACAATAGTCTACATTAACACATATAAACACATTTTTTACGACAATTTTGATATTTTACATACAGCTCCAAAAAGTAGAAAATTAAATTTATTGGAAGCCATGGAGATTAACAAAATGACACATTCAAATGTATTGCTTAACGATCATTTAGATTTAAATACCTCTTATTTATTGATCTTAAATTCTCACAACAACATTAATTTTGAATGCTGCTTTTTTGAGGTGGCTCTAAATCTTCCCGTACGATGCATTTTTTTATCAATCTTCTTTCAGGCGTTCCGATATTTTTCTTTTTTCAACTTTTAGTAAAGTCCTTAAATCACTATCTTCATCTCTGTTTGCCTAGGCTGAATGTTCGTTGAAATTTTTCCATTTTGGCCATCTTATTTGCGTTAACAAATGTTTGCAAAATTAATTGTTTTTCTCTTTCAGAATAAGGCATTTTATAATAAAAGCGTATGGTGATGACCTACATTACAGCCTCCCAAGATATAAATTATAAATTCTAGAATATCATTTTACTTTTGAAGGTTGCTTTTGCGTTAAAGGCACATATATCTCAAAAAATATTGGATATGGGTATATTATACAAGAATTTTTAGGGATTTTTTATAAACGTATAATATACAGGGTGTTCTGTGGGTGATGTCTGCAACACCCTGCAAATATCTTGCAAATACTATTTTTTTAACGAATTTTTGTATTTGACGTTTTATTCCCAAATGTTAAATTAAAAAGTTGGTGGACGCCTATCGTTTTTTATTTTTGCTTTTGTATTATTAGCTAAGTCAGCTCGCAACTCATCCATACGGTATTTTTAGCTAGTTATAACTTTGTTCGAGCAAAAATAAATTACAGTAATAAAACACACACACACACACCAATGGGTTTTAGAAATATTTGACGTCAATAAAATATCTGTTAGCGAAATACCTTCTAAATGAACCTAATTATACCTCCATGTTAACCATCCTCCACAAGTTATTTTCTGGTGGGTGTATATTAGTTACAATATTTTAAAAACGGCATATATTAATTGTATTTTCTTTGATCGTGCGATTGAGGGTTAATACTTACTTAATGCTAGTTTTGAAATAAGAGAAAAAAAATGAAGACACTCACTAAGAAGCTCCTGATAACGCATTGATCTCATTCACTCAGACTCACAAGTTGTAATAAAAGCTTTTTGATTCGAAACCAATCGGCAACCAGATTAATTTTAATGTCACGTGTCTTTAATCATCAGTAATTTCATTTTCGGCCGGATGGTTTTTGAAGGGTATCAATATTTGACTGTTCCGTGGACGCGCCTCATATTTCCACTGACAGTGTGAAAAAAGTGTAGGCTCGTTATTTAGCCGTTTGAACAAACTATACGTACGTTTGATTGGTGGTATTCTTTACGGCAATTACTACGAGCCGGAAGTAACAAATTATATTTGAGTATTAACAAATGACCGCCGATTCTCAGAAAAACTCCGTTACCCTGATTCTTTATCTATTATTTTTCGTGTAAATATTGTCAAAAAATTATGTTATGCTTTTATTATAGACCGCGGTTCTTTTGACATCCGCCAGTTATGATCCGTTAGATACACAACATCCTTTTTTTATCTTCTTACAAGACAACATCAATATTAGGTATAATTCTATTTTTTTGTTACATTCCTTGATCATAAAAGTTTCTAATTATTATCTAAGAATTATAAGTAAAAAAACTCTATACCAAAAGCAGCACAAAATATTTTTAGACTAACAGACAAAAAATAACAAATGGTAGCGAAATCATTAGAAATGGGTTAGGCGTATTTTTTGAAATGTATAAAAAATGTTTAGAAATAAACGGTGAGCATTTTGAAAATGAATTGTAATTAGCATTGTATACTGTTCAATTCCCGTTTATTATTAATTTTTTTTTATTTTCGAAAAGGTTAAATGTATTTATGTTACTTTTACTTTACTTTATTTTTTTATTTGAAGCGTAATGTGTTGAAAAATTTAGTGCGCGTCGCCTGCATTCGGGCCGAGAAAAAGAAAGGCGATTTGTGGCTAAACGATATCACTTATCAACTTGAAACAAGAGTAACGATTTTTGAAGATTTGTGATTCTGTTTAAGTCAATCTGCAATTTTCTTATATCAGTCTACATAAATAAAATATAGAAAAAAAAAGTTCTAGGTAAAGTGACAGATTGCAGAAACACTTTTATTTTGTAATGATGAATTTTACTAAAGCAGGGCTGTGTGTAAAATACCAGCTTATTTTGACAAGCTATAACTAGGAAAATATTACGATTCCCAATGTTTGTTAAATGACTTATTACGATTATTTTTTTTATTATTTATTTACACCCTGTATTAGCATAAATAAAATGTGCAATAAAAGTAAGAATAAAAATAGCTACCAAGAGTTGTTAAGTGATTGACTCAAGAATGTTCGGGGAATCGAATTTTAAAGAACTAATTCAATAAAGTTCGTCAAGTGGTTTTGCTATTTCAACAATCATCACGGCCCAAATAGATTCGATCCATTGATTTCGTTTACCTCTGACGCTTCGCTGATTGCCGCAAATTGACCTCTCAGTTGGTCTCGCGATTCTGATCAAGCTCTTTTTAAGTAAAATAAAATAGTTGTTAAACAGTAAGTTATTAAGGCGCAAATTTCAAATTTTTAATCTGACTTGGGGGCCATTATTAGGTCAGATATTTCGGTACCTATGGTTATCTACAATCATTATATCGCCTGAGGTGCGAGTTTAGCTGAATAAAAGTAAAAAATAATAAGATCGTGACTGAGGCGTTCATAGTGGGCACCTAATAACATCCCCGACCCGCCCCCATAATTACCCTGGCGCCCTCTAGATTTACCTGACCGATATGATCGACCCGGGTTCACGCGAGCCACCAAAAAACTTAAAGAATGCCTATTCAAATTAATTAATATAAAACCGCGTCTGGAAAAGTCGAAAGGTGTTAAACACGCAACAGATTTATTAACAGAATGATGGATGAAACATAATGTCTGAAAATAGTACCGATTTTGTTTTTCTTCCTAGGTGTCTCAAATGCTGCACTCAAAGTTCGTATAATTTATTTCAAGATAACAGATGACAACCTAAATGACAGCAAGAAAAGTACATTCTGAATATACAGTATCAAGCAAAAGCATATTAACATTTTTTTTACAATTAGTTAACAATGTTTCTATAAAATATTATAAAGCGTAATTAAAGTATAATACAGTTTAATGATAGCAAATAAAAAAAGATTTTTTTGGAAACTGCTAATTTATGTAATCAGTTTTGACAGCAGTTGTTTTGCAGTTGTATAATATATTATATAATACATAATAAAATAATTGTACAAAAAAATCTAATGGCGAAATGGAAAAAATAAAAAAATAAACATAAATAAGAACTAAAAGTTCAGATTTTTACGAAATTATATATTATGACATGACAATTGTTTCGACAACGTGTCTCTATCAAATGTAATATTCATAAAGTACCTGCTACCATATATACCGAAAAATGACAATAAAATCGTAATTAATGTCATTCTGAGAATTTAGGTTCAATAAAGGAGAGGTATTTAAATCTGATTGATCTTTAAGCAATACATTTGAATGTCTCATTTTGTTAATCTTCATGGCTTCCAATAAATTTTATTTTCTACTTTTTGTGGCTGTGTGTAAAATATCAAAATT